TATCCATGGCAACTATGCATGTGGATGATTTTCAAAAACGGAATAGAAAATTTTGGTGAAAATCTGACTGAAATGAAATGATCAACCAAAATTTTTGCCATTTAAAGTAAAAAATCGCCTTAAAATCCTACTTGGGTGTTAAAAAAAAATCATAATTGCATATCAAGATTTATATTTGTCACACAAATAAAGTTGGTGTAAATTTAAAGTCACGTTAACAAAGTTTATTAGTCATTAATTTGTTGATCGGTCGCACATCAAACGTAATTTGTATGATGCATTTTTTGTGCCGATCATAATATTACTCTTCCGAAAAAAACAACTTGAAATCACAATGTCATTTCAAGATGATATTACATGTAAAACATGTGGTGAAATATACACAAAAATTGATTATAAATGGTGTGAACCATGTCAAATAAATGATTTAAAACAAAATTTTACAAACTGGACCAGCGATAACAACAAAATTGATGAATTAATTCAAGAAATGCAACTAAAAATTAAAAATTACGATGATATGATAGTTGAATGGATACCATATAATCAGCTTAATGATATTAAAGAAATAGACAAAGATGATTATAGTATAATATGTTCAGCAATATGGACAGATGGTCCATTAAAATATAATTATGATAAAATAGAACGGAAAAAGATGCCTAATAAAAAAGTTGCTTTAAAATATTTAGTTAATTCACAAAATAATATTATCAATGAATTTTTAAATGAGGTCTGAAATTTTTTTTTGAATCTTCCAAAATATAATCTAATTTAATCTAATTTGATCTAATTTAATTAAAATAACTATTTTATATTTTAACAGGCTAAATCATATACTATTGAAAATGATGATCATAGTAATATTATTACAATGTACGGAATATCTCAAAATATAGATACAAAAAATTATATTATGATACTTCAAGATTGTTATTGTGAAAACTGTGGTAAAATATATACAGATAAAAGGTACAAATGGTGTAACCATGTCAAATAAATAATTTAAAACAAAATTTTGCAAATTGGACTAGTAGAAACGAAAAATTTGATAAATTAATTCAAAAAATGCAATTAAAAATTGATAAATTAGACGATACAATATTTGAATGGATACCATATAATCAGTTTAATTATATCAAAGAAATAGGCACATCATTATATTCAGCAATTTGGATGGATGGACCATTATTTTATAATTATGATAAAATGGAATGGAAAAGGAATCTTAATGAAAAAATTAATTTAATATATCATGATAATGATAATTCTTTTAAACTAACCAATAAGGAATTTTTAAATTATAAAGGGGTATGAATTTTTTATTACTATACTGTCATTTTAAATACTTTATTTATTATAATAATTTATTTTTTTATATTTTACAGATAAATTTTTTGAAGATTATATTATTAAATTATATGGAATATCCCAAAACCCAGATACAAAGAATTATATCTCAATACTTCAAGATTGTTATTGTGAATACTGTGGTAAAATTTATACAGATGTAAAGTATAAATGGTGTAACCCATGTCAAATAAATAATTTAAAACAAAATTTTGCAAATTGGACTAGTGGAAATGAAAAGATTGATGAATTAATTCATGAAATGCAATTAAAAATTGATAAACATAATGATGTAATAGTTGAATGGGTACCATTTAATCAGTTTATTAATATCAATAAAATAGGCAAAGATGATTCTACTCCATTATATTCAGCAATTTGGACAGATGGTTTATTAGAATATAATTGTGATACAATGGAACAGAAAAGAATACCTAATAAAGAAGTGGCTTTAAAATTTTTGAGTAATTCACAAAATAATGATATTACTAATGAATTTCTAAATGAGGTATGAAATTTTTGATTTTTTTTTGTAATTTAAGTGCTTTTATTAAAATAATTTTTATATCATAACAGATTAAATCATATTTCGCTGAATATGATAAAATTATTAAAATATATGGAATATCTCAAAATCCAGCTACAAAAGTTTATATTATAGTGCTTCAAAATGGTTATTGTGAAATCTGTAATAATATATATAAAAATATGAAGTATAAATGGTGCAAGCAATGTTTAATAAATAATTTAAAGCAAAATTTTACAAATTGGACTAGTGAAAATGAAAAAATTGACGAATTTATACAACAAATGCAACTAGAAGTTGATAAACTAAATGATACAATAATAGAATGGATACCATTAAACCAGTTTAATAATATCAAAGAATTATATGAAAGTAATTCAGCAACATTTGTAAATGGTCCATTATATTATAATTATGATAAAATGGAATGGGAAAGAAAGCCTAATGAAAAAGTTACTTTAATTTGCTTAGATAATTTACAGTGTACTACTGATGAATTTTTAAATGAAGTATGAATTTCTGGTTTCTTTATAATTCAATTTAAGTACTTAGTGTTAATGATTCTTCTTATATTTTACAGATTAAAACATATATTGATGAAAAACGTACAAAGGATTGTGTCATTGAAATATCTAAACGTTTTTCAAATAATTATGGAGAAAGTCATTTTAACAATAATGTTGTTAAAGTATATGGAATATCTCAAAATCAAGATTCGAAAGATTATATAATAGTACTTCAAGATTGGTGTTGTGAAAATTGTGGTAAAATGTATAAAGATTTAAGTTATAAATGGTGCAATTCATGTCAAATAAATAATTTAAAACAAAATTTTGTAAATTGGACTAGTGGAAATGAAATAATTGATGAAGTTATTCAAGATATGCAATTAAGAATTAAAAAGTATAATAATACAATAGTCGAATGGATACCATATAATCAATTTAATAATATTAAAGAAATAGTTCAAGGTGATTTTGCTACATTATATTCAGCAAATTGGATGAATGGTCCATTGGATTATGATTATTATAAATGGAAAAGAATACCCAATATTAAAGTTGCTTTAAAATATTTACATAATTCACAAGATATTACTGAAGAGTTTTTAAATGAGGTATGAAATTTCAAATTTATTTATAATTCAATTTTAATGCTTTATATATATAATAAAAATCTCTTATATTTTAGCAAATTAAACCATATGATATTGTAATATATGAAGACGATTTTACTTCTAATTCTCCTAGAATAATTGGAATATCACAAAACCCAAATACAAAAAATTATGTTTTGGTTCTTGAAAATGGAAGTCATTGTATAAAGTGTGGTGAAATATACACATCAATATACTTTAATTGGTGTGAATCATGTCAAATAAATAATTTAAAATCAAATTTTGCAAATTGGACTAGTGGAAATGAAATAATTGATAAATTTAGTCAAGGAATGCAATTAGAATTTGAAAATTTTAGTGATATAATATTTGAATGGATACCATATAACCAGTTTAATAATATTATAAAAATGTGTAAAAGTGATTCCGCCTTACTATATTCAGCAATATGGATAGATGGCCCATTAGGATATATACAAAATGAATGGAAAAGGATACCTAATAAAGAAGTTGCTCTAAAATGTTTATATAATTCACAAAATATCACCAATAAGATATTAAATGAGGTATAAAATTTTGATTTCTTTGTAATCTCTTTCAGTTGTTTATTTAATTTAAATAAATTTTTTAATATAATGATTTTTAATATACTTTAGGAAACTAAATTCTATTCTATTAAAAGATCTACTCTTAAAATATATGGAATATCTCAAAATCCTAATACAAAGGATTATATTTTAGTTATTCAAGATGGAAGTTTTTGTGGAGAATGTGCTAATATATATACTGACACTAATAGAAAATTGTGTAAAACATGCCAGATAAATAATTTAAAGAAAAATTTCGCGAATTGGACTAGTGGAAATAATCAAATTGATGAATTAATTCAAAAAATGCAATTAAAAATTAACAGACACTATGATAATATAGTCGAATGGATACCATTTAATCAGTTTAGTGAAATCAAAGAGATAGGAAAAGATGATTCTGCCAATATATTGTATTCAGCAATAAGGATAAATGATTCATTTGATTGTAATAAAGTGAAACATGGTTTTACGTCTCAAAATAATATGAAACCAAATAAAGTTACTCTAAAATATTTAAGTAATTTACAAAATAATAATATTACCAATGAATTTCTAGTAAATAAGGTATGAATTTCTAATTTCTTATAATTTAATTTGAGATCTTCTTGTTCTTCTAACTTATTGTATTATTGTTAATAATTTCTTTATATTTTTTTAACAGGTTGAATCTTATTTTATTGAATATAATAATATTAAAATATATGGAATATCTCAAAATCCAAATACAAAAGATTATATTTTAGTTTGTGAAAATGGAAAACATTGTGAAAATTGTGGTAAAATGTATAAAGATTATAAAGATTTAATTTATGATAATTGGTGTAAAGCATGCCAGATAAATAGTTTAAAGGAAAATTTTGCGAATTGGACCAGTGAAAATAAAATAATTGATGAATTAATTCAAGAAATGCAATTAAAAATTAAAAATTATGATGATATAATAATTGAATGGATACCATTCGACCAGTTTAATGATATTGAAAAAATAGGTAAAAATGATTTCACTATGTTATATTCAACGATATGGATGAATGGTCCATTAAAATATAATCAAGGAGAATGGAATAGAATGCCCAATAAAAAAGTTACTTTAAAATATGTAAGTAATGCGCGAAATAATATTATTACTGATGAATTTTTAAATGAGGTATGAAATTTTGATCCTTTGTAATTTAATTTAAATATTTTTATTTTAATGATTTTTTTTTATGTATTTTCAACAGGTTAGATCATATTCTATTAATATGCAAAACGAAGATAGTAGCAATCTTTCATATTCAACAAAAAGTACATCACATGATAGTATTAACATTGTACCTGAAATATATGGAATATCTCAAAATCCAAATACAAAAGATTATATCATAATTCTTGGAGATTGTTATTGCAAAAAATGTGGAAATCAATATACAGATATGGAAAATGAGTGGTGCAAATCATGCCAGATTAATTACTGTATTTGAAAAATAATTTTGCAAACTGGACTAGTGGAAATAAAAAAATTGATGAACTAATTCAAGAAATGCAATTAAAAATTGAAAATTGTGGTGATATAATAGTTGAATGGATACCATACTACCAGTTTAGTAATATCAAAAAAATAGGTAAAGGTGGGTTTTCTACAGTATATTCGGCATTATGGAAGAATGGCCTATTACGATGTAATACAAATTATGAAAAGTTGGAAAGAGAACATAGTATAGAAGTTGCTTTAAAATGTTTAAACAATTCACAAGATATTTCAAATGGATTATTAAATGAGGTATAATTTCCTTTAAATTAATGAAGCTAATCAATATCTTTTAATATAACAATTTTTTTTAAAAATTTATTAGGTTAAAAATTATTCTATTTGTGATAATGGAATTCTTCAAATATATGGAATATCTCAAGATCCATATACAAAAGATTATATCATAGTTCTTCAATTTGCAACTGGAAATTTTGTTAATCATGAATATATTAAAAATTCTTGGTATTGGTTTAAGAAATTATATATATTAGATCAAATTATTGACTGTCTTAAAATTATTCATGACAAACAAATGGTCCATCATGATTTGCACACAGGAAATATATTAATATTACCTAATAATGTTATATGTATTAATGATGATTATATTCCTGATGTATTAGACAAAATATGTATTTCAGATATGGGATTATGTAGAGAAGTTGGTGATATAAAAAATACAGATGAGACAAAAATTTATGGAGTTATGCCTTATGTAGCTCCTGAAGTATTAAAAGGAAATCCTTATACTCAAGCAGCAGATATATATAGTTTTGGTATGATTATGTATTTTATAGCAACTAGAAGACAGCCTTTTGACAATTGTGCTCATGATAATATTTTAGCATTGAAGATATGCAATGGAATTAGACCTGAAATTAATGAGCAAGAAATACCCGAAAGTTACATTGAGTTGATAAAGAAGTGTTGGGATCCAAATCCAAATAATAGACCAAATGCTACTAAAATTAAAGAGGAAATTAATAAACAATTTGAAGAAGCAAGAAAAAACAATATAAAATTTCCATATAATATCCAATTAACTACTCATCCAAAGGCTTGTTATACTTCTCGGTTACTTAATCCATTTACAAATGATCTCCCAAGGTATGATAATATTAGCAATAATTCAGTAGAAGTTGTTGATTTTACAGAGTAAGTCATAGCACCATTATTCAAATTTTGATGATTTAACAAAGGAATTATGTATTAAATTTAAATTATTAATGAGACATCATCGGAAGAATATAATTGAACTTAATTTATATTATTTTTATATTTTATATTAAATACACAGTATTTTGTTCAACACTGATTATAGAGTATATGTAAATTTTTTTTTTTTACATAAATAAAGTCAGTTTGTAATTGAGCAATAAACAAAATACAATCTTTATTAAATGTACCAACTTATAAAAAATTAAATTTTATAAATTTTTATCGAAGAATTATCATGACATAGTTTTATAGTGTACTGTATTTAATTTATAGTGATTACATACATTAAAATAAAACCATCAATAAAATGCATGACTTTTAGATTGACAATATAGTTTTCCCGCGCGTTTATGCTGCATAATCGGGCTGTTGGTACGAAAGGATCATGTAGTTACACAACCAAATAAGGGAAAATAATCACATTTTTATCCATGCAAATTCTTAGACTATTAAAATTTTCTTACTTACCATAAAATTGTTTTATTATTAATAAACAGTAACTCTAGAAATAAAATTAACATACAAAATTTCAATAACTTATATGAGATTCAGTTTTAATGGTGAATAATATAGTAAAAAAAAAAAGCAATAGACAATATTATGTATTATACATAAATTTTTTAACACAAAATTTTCTCATCATATATTCTTTTCAAATTATACTTATGTCATATTAAAAATGTATATTTCGTTTTAACTTTTGCTTTCAAATAGGACTGTTAAGACCGGTTAAAATGGTTAATTTAACTGGTTAAGTTATTTATTCGGTTAAAATACAAGATCTTGCAGATTATGACGGTATTGCCATTTTTCAAGCATACATATTTTTATAATTACATCAACAAGTGGCAAAAAAATTTTATCACCGATAAATTGGGAGCTCAATTCTTGCTGGAATTAAAGATTTAAAATTTGCATAATGTATTAAACTCCGGTCAAATTTTAATGCCGGCCAGAATTAACATCAGGAAATTTTTTCACATAAAATCCACATGGAAATCCATATCAAATATTGTGGAATTATGTGGAGCTCTGAATAGTTCCAATTTTTTCCAAATACCCTGTGATGAAACAATGGCATTTTCACAAAATTCTACGTAGATCCATGTAGGATATATGGGAATGTCACATATTTCTGAACTAATCCATATGGAATAACGTGGACCGATCTACCTAAAAATTTCATGATGCGGGTTAAGGTTTTTTGGACTGGTTCCAAGCTCTAGATCTAATTCATCTATTGTTTTCAGTATATTTTATAGAATTTAATTTTCAATTGTATTGCACAATGTATGAAAAAAATTTCTAACCACTGATATGGAAACGTATAATTAAGGCTATTATGAACTTATATTATTTGAAGATAAATAAACGAGATTCTGGTTTAGACAACATACGGTATTAAACGTCCTATACATCAACAACGTACAACTTCATAAATTTAGAATAAGATAGTATTAACTAGTATGGATAATTTAAATTCAATACTAATAATCCTCTCCATATATTTACAAATTTCTCCAATAAATAACCAAATATTTTTGCCGAAATATACCATAAATTAAAAAAAAAATGGTAGAGATTTAGTTAACTATACTATTAAATAAATATATATATTTTTTTTTCAAAAAAAAATTTTTAGGGCTTAAACATTTAAAATCCGCATAAATAAGGAATCAAAATTTATTTCAATGATAATTGTATAATATTAAAAAAAATATAAATTTCTATATTAGAATTAAAAATAAATTATGTTTATTGAGTTAATTAAAAAAAAATTGAATAAAATAAATAAATTTATAGAATTTCTTAAATACCTAATAGTTTTCATAGTTTTTCAAAAGATAAAAATGTAGTTATTAGATTAAAAAGAAAGTATAACTAACAAAATAATAAATAAACTCCATCACTATTTGGTCTCATGAAATTACTTGTCGTTACTATTATTAGCTCCATTATTTATTATCCTAACTCATCAATTTTTTTAGAGAAATATGCAATAAACATTTCCATTTTATCACTTCTAAATAAGTTAAACTTTTGTTATGAAAACTTGACTGTGATTCCGACACCTATAAAATATTTTTAATAAAGTGAATATTTATCCAAATATCAAGAAAACTTGATAAAAAAATTTAAATTAAAATTTTTTATTGTAAGAAACGAACTTGATTTGTCGACTAACCATAATAATTCTAAGCAATCATTCTCAATGACTTCGTAAACTTTCAATACTTCTTTTACATACTATATAGTATACAGAAATGAGTATTTTCACTACATTCAGCAAAAATATTTATTTTACTTGTAAATTAATCTGACTTTCTAATAAAAAAGTTGAAATGATTTCAAGGTACTTAATATATTTAAATTTTTAGGTTTTCAGTTTTTAACCTGTTTCTAATGTAATCCCAAGAAATCTCAAGAAATTCTCTGGTATTTTGAATACTTTTTTTGCATGAAATATTGAAATATGCGTACTTTTTAATTTCAAAAGTACTGTGTAGTTCAAATAATACAGTAAGTGTTGAAACCTTTTTCTTTGGAATCTTTATAAATTTTGTGATATTATTTAAAATATTTTTGCATACCTACATACATTATACAAACTCAAAAAACAAATTTGTAGTTTAAAAGTTTCCTGTTGTCATATTTTCTATTTTTATACAAGCGTACTAGATTTTTAGATAATTTAGGCCAAATTATAATGCCAGCTGAAATTAAAAATGCATTAGTTGATCGGTTAAACCGGTTTAAATACAATTAATCCACAAATAAACCGTTATAAATCCGGTAACCAAAATCGGTTCAAACCTTACTGCCAGCGTTCAGCAATTATGCACCTGGTATGAAATAGTTTTTTTTTAGCCATCTAAATCTCTATTATTAAACATCCATAATAAATAAAACTTTATCAAAATTTCTTCGAACAACTTAATCTTTTTTTAGACCAACTTGCATTCTCCCTTTCTAGACTTTTATGTTTATAAAATTTGGGTTGAAAAATATTACTAATATTGATAAAGCTTTGTTTCCAAATACATTCAAAATATTTGCATGTCATTATCTATTAATTATTATGACCTTTTTTTTTGTTAACCAAATATTCTAAATCGTACAGAGTATTATACCTTTAATATTATTTTTCATTTTCTTAATAAACAATTTACTATAACCCTAATCCAATGAACTTGAATAAAATAAATTATAATAATTATAATAGTATATTTTGTTATTTGTAGTTACAGATGTTTGTGATGTTCCTAATTTATTTACGTTTTATCTTTTTCGTCTTTTAACATTTTACTATTTTAATATAGATATACTTTTTTTTGTTACACAACAAATCCTATTTTGAACCAAAAAGGCATTTTCGATCATATTTTACCAAAGTCTAAACAATAATTAACCATCACATAATAATATAACATTTATCAACTACACACGTATTTTGTTCCAATAAAATGCCAACATCTCCATTGAACTCTTTATCATCTTCAGAAATACCGATTTTATATCAAATCCATGTAAATATTATGAAGATGTGGAATGAAGACCTTTAATAAAGAAAAATTTTCTATTATGAATAACAAATTTCTTCTCATCATAATAGTGAGATACTTCGTTTAAGTATTCACCAAAATAAATAAATCTATTTCTTAGTAAAGAAGTTGATATTTCAATATTAGCTACGTAAAATACAATATAGAAATCACGAACAAGTAAAATGAAAAAAATTATATAGATAATCGTCAAAATATTTTTTCCGGATATAGCTAGTCTTCTCTCGAATATATCAGTAATATCATCAACACGTGAATGACTTCATCATGGGCACAAATAAACGAGATTCTTTGGAAAGCAATTCTGTCCGATCCTGATCCACAAAGTCCGGTCTTTTTGATCAGATTGATCGACTGATTCAAATATTGTTATGAATAAGATCTAAAAACTACAATCCATAAATGTATAAAGTTTTCTCCATAAAAAAATGCTTTTAATTAATAAATGGGTAAAATTTTCTGCCGAAGCTTTGTCTCTTTCAAGGAGTTGTACCTTACTATCTACTGAAATTTATCCCAAAACCATCTAAGTTACTTTGATTAACATCTTCATCGGGATCACACAAAAATATAACATCTATACTGTATCTACTGTAATAGCCAACAACCGTAATAAAGTTGATTATAATATCAACGAATACATAATTAATAAATGATTGTTGATAAGTATTTGTTAAGAGATAAAAATGCGTAAACGAAATAATATAAATACGCGCTAATAAACAATAATAAATAATTGTACCCTGATACGAAATCAATCAATAAATAAATAAATAAAATAATAAATTAATTAATTAAATGAATTAAGTGAATGTTACGGAAATTATCAAATAAATAGCGTAAAAAAAAAATCACCAATTAATTGTCATACAGAAAATCTCTTACAAATAAAATTTTCAGTCTAACCCAATCCTGGAAAGATTACGAAGAAAAGATAAATAGTAGATATTCTCTTAATCCATCAATCTTAAATCGAGTAAATACTAGATCGAGTCTTTTTTCCATAGAGGTTGTTATTAAATACGATATAGTTTTATAGTATATTTAATTTATAGTGATTACATACATTAAAATAAAACCATCATTAAAATGCATGACTCTAAATTGACAATATATTTTCCCACGGCTGTCAGTACGAAAGGATCATGTAGTTACATAAAACCAAATAAGAATAATCATTGAAGGCAATATTAAATACTCTCACATTTTTTATCCATGCAAATTCTTAGACTATTAATCAATAAATTTTCTTACTTACCATAAAATTGTTTTATTATTAATAACATTAACTCTAGAAATAAAATTATGCTGTTATAGTAAAGAAAAAAGTAACAGACAATAATGTTAATCATAATATGTATTATGCATAAATTTTTTAATACAAAATTTTCTCATCATAAATTCTTCTCAAATTATAAAATTTTTTAAAAATGGCTTTTTTAGATAATAGGGCAAACCTGATTATTTTATTCAGATAAAGATCGCTCTATCAGGATATCTGTTAGTAACTCATTCTTTTAAAAATAATTATATCATACACTTTTACAATCAATTTCCTATTTATTTTTTTTGTGTTTTTTTAATTATATGATATTCATTCTTTTTTCAGATTTCTAGTCATCACCAGTATTGGAAATTTAGATTATTTATAAGCGCAGAGAATTAATCACATAAAAATAGTGTTTTTTTTAAATCCAATAATATTTATTTTATTCTGTTTTAAATTTACTATAAAATTGAATACAAAATGAATAATATATAATAATTCTCTTAATAGATATACAATAAATATAAATTATGAATATACATTATACATATCCCTAATACATCTCATCTATAAATTCATAAGCTTTAATATATAAATCATTATATTCTTTAACTTTAATGTTATATGATTCAAATTCCTTCAACTCATCTGTCATAGTAAACAACTCTTTTATACACCTATATGTACTATATGTACTTACTTGGACTTCTATATATCCTTCAATAGCTAAATATTCAGCCCTTTTTTCTTTCATAATATATTCCTTTATATATGGTAAAATATCATCAAATAAATTATTAATTTTGAATAATAATTTCTTAATAAAAATATGTTTTAAATTTTTAAAAAATACTTCCCAAACATTTTTTATAACATTAATACTAAAACTTAAATTCAAATATTCTAACTTATAAGGAAGAATATGTGCTAATCTTAAAAATAATTCTATTTTAGATTCAATTTTTTCATCATACGGAATATAAAAATATATTGAAAGATAATTAAGATTTTGTTCGAAAATTTTGACTGAATCTAATGCAATATGAGCTTTCTGAATACTAGACGTATGTATATCAAAAAATTTAATTCTCTTACAATAATTATTAATAAATTCTAATGCTTTGTATTTTAATCCAATATTTTCTAAATATTCCCCAAATTTTTGAAATAATAATTGCATTAATTCAATTTGTAATTTTCTATTTTCACCACTAATAAAAATATCATGTTCATCCTTTATAAATAAAGATATTAATTTAAATGGTTTGTTAAGATCAATGATTTGTTGAACAAAATTAGAATTGAAAATAAGACACTCAAGTATATGAATTGATTCTAAAACATTTAATTGTTCAAATGCCTTTTTTATATGTAACATATTCCTAAAATCAACTTTATGAAATATAATTATTTTTAAAGGTTTTGAACTAGTATTAGAATCACCTATGATATTATATAATGGTATACCATTATCTGAAAATGGCAAATAAGGACGTATATATTTATTATGTGCAAAAATAATTTTTTTAAGATTTTTTTGTGAATTAATAATTTGTGATAATTGGTTTTCAATTGTCATGTAATTATGTCTAAAACTTTCATATTCTGAAAATCTAATATGAAATGATGAAATTAAATTACAGTGATAATAAAAACATTTTAAAAATTCATACCCATTTTTATATTTTATAATTTCCTCATTAAAATGAAGTTTTAAATTTTTTATATTAATGAATTTTGGATTTTGTAAGATTAATTTAAAAATAGAACTAAAATATTTTCTGCTCATAAGGTATTTATATGCAATTTCAATTTCAAAAGTATATAATTTAGCTTCATTTTCGATAAATACTTTAATTAATAATAAAAAAATACGTCCTTTTGAACATGTAAACGTTTTGTTATCTTCAATCCAATTTACAATAATGGAACATATGTTTCGTGTATTTATACATTTAATAAAATTGGAATAATTAAATAATGTTTTTAAAGGAAATACATCATTATTAATTCCACATCTATTTAATTGTGTTTTGTCTTTTTCATTTATTTTTTGTAAGTAAATTTCAATAAAATGAAAATTTTTAGGATTTTTAATTGAAAAAGGATCTTTCCATAATAATGGAATCGCAATTTGACACCAAAATTTATTAACTAAAATACATGAATGTAATGTTGATATATCATCCCGAAAATATTGAATAATATCATCTGTTAATTCGGGAAAATTTCCTAATAATACTTTTGAGCATGCCATATTGCAAACGAAGAAAAAAGGGAGTACTTGTTTTTAAATTAGGATAAATTTATTATTTCTCGGCTTGAAATATATGGTGATCAGGTGATATACCTATTCCATTTATAGATAACAAGGAATCATCATTTTAACCAATCAGTTTTCAGAAAATCGAGCAAAAAAATTCATTGATTTTTATGTCGATCATTATTCATTACCGACCCTGCAGGTAAAACTTTATTTTTTAAGTAATAAATATTTTTAAAATCCATAATTTAAATAAAATTTATTTTATTAATTTTTTTCTGATACCCAATTTTTATTAATTAAATTATTTAAATTATGCTCTTTATGTGAACGCTAGCATAATAATATATACTCAAAGTTACATAAATCACATATCTGCAGAAAATGGGAATTTGGTGTGGTTAAATAAAAGTAAAAAATTATGTTAATTTATAATTTGTCTAGAATCTTCCTTAATTCTGCCTCCTACCATAGTCTTTGAAAAAATACTTACTTGTGCATATCAAAATACAAATTAATCCGATTCATACCTTGATTTCGATGGAATAGATACCATCCTTTTTTCATATCCAAATCCACAAAATCCCAAGATAGTAACAAATTTTCATATGTTGCATGTGGAATGAGTATGTTGTAGCAATTCTCCACATCGCCTTTCATATATTGTAATGGATAAAACAGCTTGAAAAGTTTATATAGTTAATATTGAAAACTTAATCATTAGCTGGAAGTATTTATTCATATTAATTATAAACCATGTCTTTTTGAAAATAATAAGCAAAACAATATATTATAATACTTTTTTACTCACTATTATAATCATTAATTTTTAATATAAAATTATTTTCTTTACAGTGATATTTCTGGAATAATCTTCTAAATATTTCACTTTTTAAAGGATTTTGTTCAACGTTGATAAAAATGTCAGTAAACTTTAATCATTTTAAGTTCATCATATTTACTTTCTAGGCCTCTATGATCAAGAGTTTGTCGGATATACAAAAGTCGTATCATGTGATTTATTTTGTAGAACGACTGATTTTCTGATCACACGTGATAGGACGGACTTTAGCCACAAATAAAATTTAGCCACAAATATTGCTATTTTTTTTGTAATCTGTGAATTTTATTTAATCATTATTATTATTAAGGAAAATTACTAACAATGGTTAATTAATCAAATTTTAGGGATGTGACTTCTTTTATTAAATGTGAACTAGAGTTTACATGATTTTTAAGCAAGATGATTGACCGTTATTATGCATGTAAAATTTTTCTTTATATTTTTAGTCTATTTAACAAATTTTTAACTAAAATTTCTGATTAATTTTTTTGTGGCTTGTTGCATTATTGGAAATGTTGAGTGATCAGAGGATCTTGAGGATCTTTGCCTCTTTGGCATAAGCCGCGAATTTACTGGGGCTTGCAGTCAAATTTTGCGGAAAATTATGGTACTGTACGTCATAATCATAATCTGATTTATTTTATTATTATTAATTATACGCACTTTTTCAATAATAATAAATGTCCAAATTAACAAAAATGTGCTTTACTTTAATATTTTTAAAGAGTTGCATATATAATAAAAATACTCTACATTATTACCTTTAGTTAATAAACCTGGTGTGAGATTACTATTCCAATTCTGCGGAGAAATCCTTAAAATTATTAAATTATTCAAAAAGGAAATTCCTATTGGATGTAAATCATGTAATCATTCACAAATAATATAAAGTGTTAAGGTATTGATTATACAATTAATTCATACAAAAAGCCTTTATTTAATTTTATACTACCGCGTTTCCTAATAGTCGTCCGTGATCTTCCTTATTGATATTTTTATGGATGATGTTTATCTAAAAGGATAGTAATAAAGCTAAAAAGCCATTCACTGGTCGAAGTGGGATGATTTGCATGAAGTTTATTGCCCATAAATAGCTTATAAATTTGGTGATCTCAATTATGATTAGGAAATCTCCATCAAATTTAATTTATAGATTGAAACAGTAAAATTTATTGTAAATTTTATGATTTTAAAATTAATTCGCTAATTTATAATGTATAAATTCTGAATAAATTTTAATTAAATTTAATATCAATGTATATTACACATATTATAGCTTGAAATTTACTTGAAATATGATATTTAATTTGCGACAAGCCATCTACTTAAATTTTGCTATTACTTAAACAAAGTTTTATATCATTGCAAAATAACAAAAATAGCAGAGATAAATCATAAACTTCGTAGCCACGCTCAATTAAGGCAATGTATTACTGGACCTACACTAAAGATGACTTTAGCAAGGCTTTCTTTATGAATTAAAAGAAATTTCATACACTTTGCCAGCTGGTGAGAAAGCTTATGAACTCTGATAATTTCAAGTCAATTATACTAAAAAACCCAGAATATAAATTTTTCTAGGATTTTTTTTTATATTAGATTGGTATAGTATAATGAATAGATATAAAAATTTTTTTGGAATTTTTTTAATAATAGATTGGTATAAATATATTTTGAGATTTTTTTTAACAATAGAGTCAATAGAATAATGGATAGATATAAAAAGTTTGCTGGAATTTTTTAATACAATAAGTTGTTTTGCAAGAAATAATAACTAATTTGTCTGTTTATTATTTTGAAGAGTATAAAAGAAAAAATGCAAAGAAATTAAAAAAAAATAGTTTATTCGTGATTAAAAATAGTTAAAATAGTTTAAATAGTTTAACGGCTTTAACGCGTCCGTCGCGTCCTACATAAAATTAATGTCACGTGTATCACGTGATATAATGATAACTGATAGGCGCAGTTCAATGATGGATAATCTCTAAAAAAAAGTTTACATTCTTGTCCTTCTTTCCCATAATTCCTTTCCCTCTTTCTCATTCATTAATTTCTTTTTCACAACAGTAACATCAACAAGCTATTGATATAAACAACTGACAAAAAATTAAAGGAATGAACAATGTTCCCAATGGTTTGAAGTTGAGGTTCAATTGAGAACGAACTGAACATTTCCACAAGTTAATGCTCTCTTAGGTGATTTCTGATTTCTTTTTTATTTTTATCGATTATTAGATTTTTTTTTTGTTTTATTAACTAATAAATTTTCTTTTTTTCTTTTTATTTTTCATAAAAATTTTTCCAAGCCTATGATAGCTGGACTTTGGAAATTAGTTTATAAACCATTGATTAGGCTACTGAAGAAAACAAAAGTAAAAATTATACTTTACAAAAAACAAGAATCGGAAAACTAAAATAAACAGTAAGTTATTAATTTTGTTTTAATAGTTTATTATTAAGTGTTAGAAATGAATTTTCTTTTTTATTTCCTTCTTTTTTTGGTAGGTAATATTCTCTGGAGGAACTTTTGGATGGTAAGTAAATTTTTTGGGGAAGAGTTTCGCCATTATCTATGAGAAACGTATTAAATTTTCCTTTTTTTATTTTTTGTAGGTAATAACTTTCTCTGTGGAAGACTTTTGGATGGTGTGTTATTTCTTTTGAGAGGATTTCGTCATTTATCTATAAGAAATGTCTGACACTTCTTTTTTTAATCTTTATAGGTTCTGTATTTCCAGACTCCAGTAAGCTATTTGAGTTCGGAATTGACTTTAAGAAACCTACTTTAAAAGAATTTTATTAATGAAACTTTTCTTTTTTTTATTTTTTAGCCTTAGGTTAATGTATTCTTTTAGATGACTGATATGGTACTTCGGATCTTTGAAGCAGAATTTTGACAAGGGAAGACAAAGAAGTTTTCACTTATTTTTAATGCTAGATTTTTTTGATACATGGACTTCTGGTAATTCTTTTTTAAAGTTCTTTTTTTTTAATTTAACGAAAGAAAAAGTGACTTTTAAATTATTCTAACAAAATTTTTTAAACTTTTTATTTTAACATAACATTAACTTAATGACTTCATTTTTCATTATTATTTAGATGGATCTTCAGCTTGCTCTTTGGATGCTGGTTTTGGTAAGATATTTTTTACTTTAATGTTAACAAACAATTACTAACTTTTTTTTCTTTTATACTGTAGACAACTTGCTCTTTGGCTTCCAGGAATATCTTTGAACACAAATTTCGTAAGTTCAATTTTTTCTTTAATTTTTTCTTTTAACAACCGAATGATCACTAATATTCATCATCTTTCTTTTTTCAGATGGTTGGTTCTTTGACTCTTTAAATGCATGAAAAACTTGATAAGATTTTGTTTCTAATTATGCATTTCAATGAAATGTTTTTACTAATGTTTAATTTTCTCTTTTTTTAGATGGTCTAGAATGTTTAGGAATCTTGTAAAAAAAGGGGTTTAAGGTTAGAGATCATAGGCTTTCTCACCAGCTGGCAAAGTGTATGAAATTTCTTTAATTCACAAAGAAAGCCTTACTAAAGTCATCTTTAGTGTAGGTCTAGTAATACATTGCCTTAATTGAGCGTGGCTACGAAGTTAGTGATTCTTTAATAGGACTTTTGTCAAAAGTATCTTATTATACAACATTTTGTTTTATTAATTTTACAATGCATTTAAAGTGTTAGCGAAGTTTCTTTATAATATACATAAAATTTATATAGAATTTATAATAATTTATTGTATTTATTGTTAATATTTTAGCTATATATTTGCAAATATGAGCAGAATTTCTTTAACATTTCTTTATAATGCAAACAATTTCATTTTAATATGTTGTAAATTTAAATGATGTATAAATATGTTTTATTGCAATTTAAAATACATTTATATAATGGAAACTTGCAAATTTCAAAAGATATATACACTTCATGGAAATTGGACAAGTTTACAACTAATTTCTGTGACATACATTTTAATCGGATTCAATTGAAATTACTAGTAAATCAATATGAAATGTGACGTGTGCGTAAAATTTGTCTGATGTAAATACTGTATATTGCACATCACCCCACTTTGACCAGTGATTGGTCTCTGTGGCATAAACCAGTTATTTCACGGTCAGCGTTGATCTCATTAACATCAGATATCAAGGCTTCCCGAGATGGATAAAATATCTTAAGAAATTAAAAATAATAATATCTTAGAATTAGAAGAAAAATTATTATTGAAATTTCTGGTATTTATTGGAATAGATGTTTTCAAGTTTAAATTTAATTATTCAACTTATATTGGTTGCTCCACGATGTGAAGAGGTAACTGCTGAACTAGAGAAAGAAAAGGCATAAGTAGTAAGTAGGGATGGCAACGGTCGGTCAGAAGTCTTGACCGACCGATATCGGTCACGGTCATGACCGGTCATAATCGGTTAATGACCGTGACCGTTGCCATCCCTAGTAGTAAGGATAAAAAAAACAAAGGTAAATCAAGTAGATAAAGGGAAGAGTGCGAAGACAGGTGTCAATTCAACATATAATAAATGAAATCGTAAAACAAATTAAAAGAAAATATTAAAATAAATATTAAATAGATTTGTTAGTAATAAATAGTATAACAGATAATGATTAATAGGTTGTATAGTAATATATGGGGCCATACATACGTAGAAGTATGGATAATTAGATATGGATCAAAGTATAAAGTCTTGAATATTATAACTACAACAATACGTTAAATATTGTGTTAATTGATAGTTTTACAACGATATGTTTTACTATTTATATATTTATAAATACTAATAAAGAAATACGTGTTGATATTTTTTTTTACCGTTGATATCAACTTTAAAAATCTTGATTTCAATCAATATAATGTTCTTCATATAAATCATATAAGTCAAAATTTATTTGTTCACCAATTAGTTTAAATTTATTCTGTTGCAAAGCAATGGGCGACCGCTAGTAAACAACCAATATTTTTTTTTTTTTTAAAAAAAAAAATACTAATTATTACATTTTTGTTAAAGTTTTAAAAGCTGTTCTAATGATTTTTTTTTGTTTTATATTAATTATCCAATAGCACTTAACTATAATCTCATTCTTTTTTTTTCGATTTCTATTTGTCTCACAAATGAAATTGGCGTAAATTTATAAGTCACGTGAAACAAAGTTTATTGGTCAATCATCACAAAATTTTATTAGGTGCAGCTTAATTTTTGTGTAGATCATAATACTAGACAATTTTCTCTCACCAAAGAAAACACTTGAAAGTATAATGTCATCTCAAAATGATATTACGTGTAAAAAATGTGGTGAAATTTACACAGAAATTAATTATAAATGGTGTGAACCATGTCAAATAAATGATTTAAAACAAAATTTTACAAACTGGACCAGCGGTAACGAAAAAATTGATGAATTAATTCAAGAAATTCAACTAAAAATTAAAAATTTTGATGATATAATAGTTGAATGGATACCATATAATCAGTTTAATGATATTAAAGAAATTGACGATGATGATTATAATATAATATATTCAGCAATATGGACAGATGGTCCATTAAAATATAATTATGATAAAATAGAACGGAAAAGGATACCTAATAAAAAAGTTGCTTTAAAATATTTAGTTAATTCACAAAATAATATTATCAATGAATTTTTAAATGAGGTATGAAATTAGTTTTTGGGTCATTTGTATTTTAATATAATTTAATCTCTGTGTTTTTATTAAAGAAAACTATTTTATATTATAACAGGCTAAATCATATACTATTGAAAATGATGATCATAGTAATATTATTACAATGTACGGAATATCCAAAAATATGGATACAGAAGATTATATTATCGTACTTCAAGATTGCTATTGCGTAAATTGTGGTAAAATATATACAGATAAAAGGTATAAATGGTGTAACCCATGTCAAATAAATAATTTAAAACAAAATTTTTCAAGTTGGACTAGTGGAGACGAAAAAGTTGACAAGCTCATTCAAAAAATACAATTAAAGATTGATAAACTAGATGATACAATATTTGATTGGATACCATATAACCAGTTTAATTCTATCAAAACAATAGGCATGACATTATATTCAGCAATTTGGATGAATGGACCATTATATTACGATTATGATAAAATAGAATGGAAAAGGAATTCTAATGAAAAAATTAATTTAATAAATTTTGATAATTCTTTAAAGATAACCAACAATGAATTTTTAACTTATAAAAAGGTATGAAATTATTTTTAATTGTTATACTATTCAAGTACTTTTTTTTTATTATATTGTAATAACTTTCTTTTTATATATTTTATCAAGAATAAACAATGTTTTATTGAAGATTATACTATAAAATTATATGGAATATCTCAAAACCCAGATACAAAGAATTATATTTTAATACTTCAAGATTGTTATTGTGAATACTGTGGCAAAATTTATACAGATATAAAGTATAAATGGTGTAATCAATGTCAAATAAATAATTTAAAACAAAATTTTGCAAATTGGACTAGTGGAAATGAAAAGATTGATGAACTAATCCAAGAAATGCAATTAAAAATTAATAAACATAATGATGTGATAATTGAATGGATACCTTTCAATCAGTTTAATGATATTAAAAAAATATGCAATGATTCTGTCCCATTATATTCAGCAATATGGACAAATGGTTTATTAGAATATAATTGTGATAAAATGGAACAAGAAAGAATACCTAATAAAGAAGTTGCTTTAAAGTTTTTGAGTAATTCACAAAATAATGATATTATCAATGAATTACTAAATGAGGTATAAAATTTTTAATCTTTTTTAATTTAATTTAAGAGCTTTTTATTAAAATAACTTTTTATATTATGATAGATTGAATCATATTCTGTTCAATTTGTCAAATATGATAATATTGTAAAAATATATGGAATATCTCAAAACCAAACCACAAAAGATTATATTATAGTACTTCAAAATGGTTATTGTAAAATCTGTGATAACATGTATAGTAACATAAAGTATAAATGGTGCAAGCAATGTCTAATAAATGATTTAAAGCAAAATTTTGCAAACTGGACTAGTGAAAATGAAAAAATTGACAAATTTATACAACGGATGCAATTAGAAATTGATAAGTTAAATGATACAATAATTGAATGGATATCATATAATCAGTTTAATAATATCAAGGTATTATATAAAAATGATTCTGTTATAATATATTCAGCAATATTTATAAATGGTCCGTTATATTATAATTATGATAAGATGGAATGGGAGAGGAAACCTAATGAAAAAGTTACTTTAATTTGTCTAAATAATTCGCAAATAACTACTGATGAATTTTTAAATAAAGTATGAAGTTTTGATTTCTTTGTGATTCAGTTTAAAAGCTTTTACTAATGATTTATCTTATATTTTATAGATTAAAACTTACATTGATGAAAAACATATAAGGAATTATGTCAGCAATAGTATGAAAAAATCCTCCTTTAACCAATATACAGAACATAATATCGGAATTTATGAAAATGATAACAATAATATTATTAAAGTATATGGAATATCTCAAAATCCGGATTCAAAAGATTATATTATGGTGCTTCAAGATTGTTATTGTGAAAACTGTAGTAAAATGTATGAAATAACAAGGTATAAGTGGTGCAATCCGTGTCTTATAAATAATTTAAAACAAAATTTTGTAAATTGGACTAGTGGAAATGAAATAATTGATGAATTAATTCAAGAACTGCAATTAAGTATTACAAAGCATAGTGATATAATAGTTGAATGGATACCATATAACCATTTTAATAATATTAAAGAAATAGTTCAAGGTGAATTTGCTACATTATATTCAGCAGATTGGATGAATGGCTTGTTGGATTATGAATATTATAAATGGAAAAGAACCCCTAATTTAAAAGTTACTTTAAAATACTTATATAACTCACAAGATATTACTGAAGAATATTTATATGGGGTATGAAATTTCAAATCTCTTTAATTTTTTTGTAATTTAATTCTAATATATAATAAAATTCTTTTATACTTAGCAAATTAGATCATACAGTAGTATTGCAATAAATAAAGAAGATAGTACTTATAATAACCCTAGGATATATGGAATATCACAAAATCCAAACACAAAAGATTACATTGTAGTTCTTGAGAATGGAAATCACTGTGAAAAATGTGGTGAAATATATACATTAATATATATAAAATGGTGTGAATCATGTCAAATAAGTAATTTTATAATGGATTTCAAAAATTGGACTAGTGGAAATGAAATAATTGATAAATTTATTCAAGAAATGCAACTAGAATTTGAAATCTACTATGATAATATAATGGTTGAATGGATACCATATAACCAATTTAATAATTTTAAAAAAATAGGTGAAAGTGATTTTGCTATGCTATACTCAGCAATATGGATGAATGGACCATTAGAATATGATAAATCTGATAAAAAGGAATGGATAAGGATGCCTAATAAAAAAGTTGCTTTAAAATATTTATGTAATTCACAAAATATTAACAATGAATTTTTAAATAAGGTATATAATTGCTAATTTTTTTAATTCAATTTAAATATTTTTTTAATATAATAACTTTTTTATATATTTTAGGAAACTAAATTATATGTTAAAAGCAATGAATATGATATTACTAAAATATATGGAATATCTCAAAATCCGGATACAAAAAATTATGTTATAGTTCTTCAGGATGGAATTCTTTGTGATAAATGTATTAAAATATATAATGATATTAGTAATAAATGGTGTAAAATATGCCAGATAAGTAATTTAAAGCAAAATTTTGCAAATTGGACTAGTGGAAACCAACAAATTGATGAATTTATTCAAGAAATGCAATTAAAGATTAACAATTATAATAATATAGTTGAATGGATACCATATAACCAGTTTAATGATATTAATAAAATAGGCAAAAATGATTCTGCTGCAATATATTCAGCAATATGGAATAATAATTGTGATAAAATGGAGCAGAAAAGGATACATAATAAAGAAGTTACTTTAAAATATTTGTGTAATTCACAAAATAATGATATTACCAATGAATTTTTGAGTAAGGTATAAAATTTTAATCTTTTACAATTTAATTTAAGTGCTTTTTTGTTAAAATAGCTTTTTTTTATTATAATAGATAAAAACATATTTCATTGAATATGATAATATTATTGAATTATATGGAATATCACAAAACTCAGCTACTAAGGATTATATTATGGTTCTTGAAATTGGAAAAAATTGTGAAATATGTGGTGAAATATATGCAGATTTGACCTATAAATAGTGTAAATCATGTCAAATAAATGATCTAAAGAATAGATTTGGAAATTGGACAAGTGGAAATAAAATAATTGATGAATTAATTCAAGAAGAACAACTAAAAATTAAAAATCATGATGATATAATAGTTGAATGGATGCCATATTACCGGTTTGGTAATATTAAGAAAGTAAACAAGAGTGATACGACTTTACAATATTCAGCAATATGGATGAATGGTCCATTAAAATATAATGGAATAAAGTGGGAAAGAATACCTAATAAAAAAGTTACTTTGAAATATTTATGTAGTTCACAAAATATTACCAATGAAATTTTAAATGAAGTATGAATTTTTAATTTCTATGTAGTTTAATTTAAGCACGTTTTTCCTAGTAACTTTTATATTTTTAATAGGTTAATTCATATTTTATTAAAGTGAATAACTTACCATTAAATCAACCTACTGATTATAGTAGAATATTACATCCAACTAAAGATATATCACCTAAAATATATGGAATATCTCAAAATCCAATTACAAGAGATTATTTTATAGTTATTAAAGGTTATTGTAAAAAATGTAGTGATCATTATACAGATATTGAACATAAATGGTGCAAACCATGTCAAATAAAATATTTAAAAAATAATTTTATAAATTGGACCAGTGAAAATAAAAAAATTGATGAATTAATTCAAGAAATGCAATTAAAAATTAAAAATTATGATGATACAATAGTTGAATGGATACCATACGACCAGTTTAATAATATTAGAAAAATAGGTAAAGGTTGTTTTTCTACAGTATATTCAGCATTATGGGAGAACGGTCCATTACAATATAATACAAATTACGAAGGGTTGGAAAGGGATCATAGTATAGAAGTTGCTTTAAAGTGCTTACATGATTCGCAAAATATTTCAAATGGGTTATTAAATGAGGTATAAAATTTTCCTTTAAATCAATGAAGCTATTTATAATTTTTTTTAATATATTTTATTTTACAGGTAAAAAATTACTCTATCAATCATAATAAAATTCTTAAAATATATGGGATATCTCAAAATCCAATTACAAAAGATTATATTATTGTTCTCCAACTTGCAAGTGAAGGTTTTGTTAATAGTAGATATATTAAAAAACCTTGGTATCGAATTGAAAAATTGTATATATTGTATAAAATTATTGACTGTCTTGAAATTATTCACAACAATCAAACAGTTCATCGTGATTTACATATAGGAAATATATTAATATTGCCTTCTGATCAATTTTCTGATGATATATGTATTATGGATATGGGATTATGTAAGGAAGTCGATAATATAAGTAATACAGTTTATGGAGTTATGCCTTATGTAGCTCCTGAAATATTAAGAGGAAAACCTTATACTCAAGCGGCTGATATATATAGTTTTGGTATGATTATGTATTTTGTAGCAACTAGAAGACAAACTTTTGCCAATTGTGCTCATGATGGTATTTTAGCATTAAATATATGTAATGGAATTAGACCCGAAATTAATGAGCAGGAAGCACCAAAATGTTACATTGAGTTGATGAAAAAGTGTTGGAGTTCAAATCCAGATGATAGACCAAAAGCGATCGAAATTAAAGAGGAAATTAATAAACAAATTGAAGAAGCAATAAGAAATAAAAAATTTAGATTTTTAAACATTGGAAGTAACCAATCAACTGTTCATCCCAAAGCTTGTTATACTTCTCGATTGCTTAATCCATTTACAAAGAATCTCCCAAAGTAACAATAATTCAGTAGAAGTCATTGATTTTACAAAGTTAACTTACATTGCTTTTATTCAAATTTTGACAAGAATTTATTAAATTAGTTTATTAATAGGTTATCATCGGGGGAATAAAAAAAATTTTAATTTACCATTTTATTCATTAATTTTAAAATATACTATGATATTTGTTTAACACTGATTATAGAGTATATGTAAATTTTTTTTTTACATGTGTAAAGTCAGTTTGTAATTGAGCAATAAAATAACATAAAGATTAAATGATATTCAGAGTTTTGTAGATTTATCATTTATGATATTTGATTAGAATTAAAATGAATAGATAAGTTATCATGAGATATTGAGATAAGTATGCTTAATATATTATGTAATTTGTGGAAGTGATGGCAAATAACCAGGTCATTTGACGGTCATTTGGCCATTATACTTATGAATGACCTAGTCGCTTGAGGCCATTTGTCATTTGAGTCGTTATTATTTAAATATACAGCTGCATAATTTAGGTACTATTATTGATATATTTATTTTATCCGCGAAACATTAAATTGTATAAATAATTTTGGTCAGGATTATGAGTTTATGAGATCACATGATGATTCATTCGTTGATATCATGGTCTAAATGACAAATGTCACATTTGTTGATTTTTGTCTTTAGTACTGTTTTGTCTCAGTGATGTCATTTAAATCATTATTCCATCACTGATTACATTTTTAAAAAATGTATAATTTTTGCATTCGAATTTAATGGATGATACGATCCAATTTATCTTAATTGTTTTCAGCATATTTCATAATTTTTAATATATTTTAATTTTAAACATATTGCTACAACGTACGTAAAATATTTCTAACCATAATATGAGATGCTTATAGGTTACGACAAACTTATATTTTCGAAGTTGAAGAAAACAAGATTGTGCTGCAGACGATATAACTATTAATTAATACTATCTTATTCCGAAGTTTATATGAGTTGTATATTGAGAATTAGTTAATTAGATATTTTCAAAAGGATATTTCTGGTTTAAACATTTAATATCTAACAACTTAGATTCGTTTTTTTTTAGAAATATGTTCCAATTGCGAGTATTTATATAGAATAATACTGAAAGATGCACCTATGAGATGCATATGACTAGTACGTACCTGATCGTATTTACACATAATAGTGTAACTTATCTCAAACAATACTACCAAAGCCAGAAATTTTATATATACATATTATTGGATGGGGAGTAGCTATATCGGTCACAGGACCGAATGATTGGATGAAAATGGGCCACGTAGTGGCCCATTTTCACCAATCAATGAAGGGCCCTGTGACCGATATAGCCCCACATCCAATAAAAGTGTTATCGTTCTGACGTTTTTGATCATGCATTAATTAATAACATCATAAATAAGTTTTCTATAAATTTCATTTTTATAAGCTTTATTTAAACTTTTCCTACAAAATATTCATTTACGCCATTTTTTTACTCCACTTTATTATATCAATAATGTGTTATTGCTATGACTAATAAAAATATCGGTCTATGAAAATCTGCATGATCCTATTTGGCTGAACGATAATCTATAATACATATGAACTTTACTAAATATTATCTGAGTTTAAATCAGTAAAAAGCAATTATAGCTTGTTTTAAGCTTCTCTCAATAATTATTTTTTCCATTTTCGTATAATTGCCAAAAATCGAAAGTATCACTATTCAAAGTTAATAGACATTTTTTACAATTTTTATTAAATTTTCCTTATAAAGTAATAAAGCAATTGAAATAATCACGAAAATGGCAAAAAATTTTTAATATAAAATAAAAATCTACGATCTCATTTCTTAAAATAATTTTTTATACTGAATAACTTTACAATGTTCTAGAGATTCAAAATAAAAATAAATTAACTTCATATTAAAAGTGAATTTAACGAAAGAAGTATTTAACCTAAATTTTTACATAAAAATATTTTTATTATTATCATAATTAATTATAATCTTTGAACTCACGTCATCTTATTAAAAATTTAATTTAATTTGCAGAATAATCGATTTTATGTCAGTAAAACAAGACAACGGATGATTTTCGTTTAAAATTTCATTTCACGTAAAAAAAGAGGAATTAGATATAGTATTTATTAAATTATTAACTAATCATAATTTTTTTATAAAAAATTGTCTTTTAAACAGATTTATTTTTTACCTGATAAGAGTCTATAACATTCATTATAATTTATAATTGTTCAGAAGTTGGTCTTTTAACAAGAATAGGATCCCACACCTTTTTATTAATTCCAAGTAATCATTCTCCATGACTTCATAAAATTTCAATGCTTCCCAATTTTCGTTCTTAATCCTTGACAAACATTTAAGGATATATTGAGTATTATAACACGAGAAATGATCTCTGGCATTCCTACTTTTAATAGTGTATTGTACCTCATGATTTCAAAGCCTTAAGGCAGGTCTTATATATTTCTTAAATTATTGCAATTTCTTTCTGATTTCTAGCTTTTAATTGAGCTTCTGTATAAATTTATCTATAAATTTACACTATTTCTACAAGCCCATTTTTAGAAAACTCTTCGAAGTCGTTTAGAATTAGTATTTGATTTATTACAATCAGGACATGATCCGAATTCTTGATTAAGATCTTGTTTTTCATAAATTCTGTAAGTTTCTTCAAAATTATTTAATATTTTCAGACATTTGTATACCGATTAATACATTATATATTAAGTTTCTCGCGTTTTATAATTGTATCTATCATTTAATCATGTAATTTAAAACTCTAAAATATTTGTTGGCTGCCGATCGTATTAAAATAGAAAAGCTTGATTCGAATTTAATGTAAATGTATTATATAATCAGCAAATCAATACCAAAGACAAGGATCAGTATCTTAAAATGGTAATCACTAAAAACTAATCTTATGATAACGTTAGGTAAACGTTAACGTTAACCTATCATGACACGCCATTTCAAGTCAATACATAACGTTAACGCGCCACCCACCCACCCACGAGGTCATAATACACTTTTATAGAATTTCTTCTTTTACTAAGTAAAAAATTGTGGGATAAAAATTTCGGCAAATCATGTTAAAAACTGAATAATTTTTTTTTGTCAGCTAAAATTAAAATGATCTTCATAATAAATCACATGAATATTTAATACACAATCACATGATCTATCAGTAATTTTTCCACCAGTTAAAATTTAGAAATTCTCTTTAAATCTTTAAAACTATTTATCATAATTATGATACTGTATGGTAGTATAAACCAACTTAATTAAAAAAAGTCAGAATATTACAGCTCTAATAATACTATGATTATAGCTCCCTGCCATGTTTAACGTTAACTTGTAGGTCAATATATGCGGACGGATTTGACTCCCTTGATGATCACCATTCCGATCATCAAGTGAGCCAATGATGTTATTGTCTTACATCGATATTTTTATGTTCTCATGTAAAGAAAATCTTATTTCTATATTGACAGACTGTAGTGTGTATTAAACAAAATTATCTTTAACAAAATGTTGCATTATTAACCGTTTTTTAAATAAATTAATGTATAAAAATTTGTTCTTTGAAAATTTGATTAATTGGTTAAGAAAAGTAGATCACCGCAGCATGTTATGTGGCTTTTTTTGTGCACATTTTGTGTACTGTACGTCTTGTACGACGTTACCAAAAATTTATTTATATAATGAAAAAAAATAAAACTTTTTAAACTTTTTGATTTTACTTTACGCCCAAAATAATAATATCAAAATGCAAAACACCGAAAATACAAATGAATGGATCAATTGGATTGAAGAAGCAATTTCTAAGGAATATTTTAGACTTTATGAACACAAATATTTTAGTAATGTTCAAAGAATTGGTACTGGAGGATTTGGAAAAGTTTATCGTGTAAATTGGAAAAATTCAGACCAATATTTAGCGTTAAAATCCTTTTCCAATGTTGATGACGTAATTGCAAAAGAAATCGTTCATGAGGTATAAATTATGAAATAAGTATACTATTGTCATTTTAATATTAATAATATATGCATTAAATTTATATTTATTAAAATATTATAATCTAAGCTCAAGCTTCAACGTGATATACAATTTCATAATAATATTATTAAGTTCTATGGCGTTGCACAATTTGAGCCAGGTAATTTATATAAATTCAATTATAATAATAGTTAAAATTTTATTTAACTTTGCAAATATAGAAAATAATTAATTTCTTTTATTCATAATTAGAATATCAAAATGTTCAATCGAAAAATTATTTGTTAGTAATGGAGTATGCTGATTCTGGTACTCTCAAAAATTATTTAAAGGAAAACTTTAGTAATCTTACTTGGAGCAATAAATACAACTTGGCGTACCAATTAGCTAGTGCTGTGGCGTGTTTACATAATGAAGGAATAGTGCATCGTGATTTGGTAATTTTAATTTTATTAAATAATAAAATAATTATTGTAATTTTTTTTCATATTTTTAACGTCGTATTAACTTAATAGCACTCCGGAAATGTGTTAGTCCATCAAAATATTATCAAACTGTCCGACTTTGGGTTGTCAAAAAGAATTGAATCATCAACCAACACAAAAACTAAATTTTTTGGATGTGTTCCTTACGTCGATCCAAAAAAATTTAGTGGACGAAATAAAAATAAAAAATTAAATGAAAAAAGTGATATTTATAGTGTGGGTGTATTATTTTGGGAATTATCTAGTGGTCAGCCACCTTTTGTTACTGAAGAGTACGATATTGATCTAGCTATAGAAATTTCACAAGGTCGTAGAGAAGAACCCATTCTTAATACGCCTGAAAATTATATTAAAATTTATACCGGTACGTATGAACTCTCATTAATTATAATTTAAAATTTATTTATAATTTATTATTATATTTTTTAGAATGTTGGGATAATGAACCAGACAATCGTCCAACTATGAATCAAGTCTTAGAAAGATTAAAAGCAATTATAGCGAAAACAACAGAAAATCATCAACCGGAATTAAATCTTCAATCAACATCAACAGACGAACAAAATTTTAATTCAATCAATATTGATACTTCAAATGTTAATAATTCATTACATGGGGAAATGTCTCAAATTATTGAAAATTTTGATAAAATGAATACAAAGGAAATAGTATATAAAACATTAACAAATGAAGATATTTCATCTGAAAAAAATATAAGTAAAATAGTTAATGATATAGTAAATTATCTTTTCAAGTCAAATAATGAAGGAAAAGATCTATCAAGAAAAGATATTCTTGATTATTTTAATGATAATAATATAAATTCACAAGAAATCCATGATTGGTTATTAATTAATCAAAATAATTCAGATTCCATATTTTTACTTGGATATTTTAATTTTTTTAGAATTGAAACAAGTGAAGATGAAAAAAAGAAAGCGTTTAACTTATTCATTAAAGAGTCAGGACAAAACCACACATTATCGCAATATTGTGTTGGATTATGTTATCAATTTGGTTATGGAACTGTAAAAGATGAAAAATTAGCTTTTGAATATTATGAAAAAATAGCTAATAAGGGTTACGCAATGGGATTACTTAAGTGTGGTTATTTTTATTATTATGGAATTGGAATTAATATTAATAAACAAAAAGCAATTGAATTATATCAGCAGGCGGCAAATTTAGGAAATAGTGGGGCTTACAATAATTTTGCCGCTATGTATTATAAAGGAGATGGCGTTAATAAAGATTATAACAAAGCTTTTGAATTATATCACAAGGCAGCAAATTCAGGATTTAGTTTGGCTCAATATAATCTTGCTGGTATGTATGAAAATGGAAAAGGAATAGAAAAGGATATAAATCAAGCAATTTATTGGTACGAGAAATCTGCTAAACAAGGATTTGAACATGCTCAAAATAAATTAAAAAAATTAAGAAAATGAAATAAACAAGTTTTTTTTATTTGAATAAATCTTAGTGACAAAGTGTGTATCAAGCCAGTAGTTTTATTTATTGTAACGTTTTTCTTAAATTAAATATTGTATTATCCTATAAATTTATTTATAATTATTAAATACTAGTAATTTAAAGTGACGCGTGCAGATATTTCACGTGAATTCCATTTTTGTAATTGATGATTCAACCATCATCAAAGTAACTAATTGTTTAATTTTGATTTCTACAAATGGTACGTAATATATATATATAGATATAACCACAGAAGTTAATACACGAAAACTTTGATATTCCTTAATAAGTTTTTATATTTTCCAAAAGTGTAAATTACAAAACCGCGTAAAAAAATTATATAAGATTTTTCTAAGAAACGTTAAGATTGTTGTGATTTATTAAAATTTCCATTATTCTATCAATAAATGACAAATTAAACTCTTGTAAAATTACTAACTGATGGAAAGTAGGTATGATTATTTCATACTTCCAACATAATCAATTAATCTCAAATTCTTTAAACTATTTTGTAAAGAAATTAATTCTTCTAAACTATTTTCTAACCCATTTGGCATATAAATGATTTCAAATAATGAATTCAGCTGTTGGCAGCTGATAAAAAAATTTCAAAATGAATGAATAATGTATAACTAATTTCTTCTCCAGAAAAATAAGTAAAATATCATTAATTAAATAATAAGTCAATAAAGTAATTTGGTTTGTAAACTTCCTTCGTGACTAAACAATTTTTAACTTTTAGAGAATTATACTAAATATTTAATCAATCATATAATTAAATACAAGTAGTTTTGAGGCATTGGATATTTAGTGCTGAGAAACGAATTGTTAATAAACCAAAATATTCTTCCAAAAAATTGAGACAATATCTTATGCCGCAATTATTTTATAATGTTGTAAAAATGACGCATGATTATTATTAGTAAATTCTAAAATCATAATTAGATCGGAATTAAAAATTAATGTGATTTATTCAAACAATTGATTATATTTGACAAATCCCATAATTAATTTTATAATCGAAACTATGCCAAATTAATTTATTGAATGATAGATGATATTTAAAGTATTCTGAATTCTATACTTGACATTCATCAAAATTTAGGTGATCCTCAATATTATCATCTACTTCTATTATATTACGTTTTTGGCCAGACATCCTGTTTCTTTAGGTTTCAGTTAGTTTTTACGAAATAATCATAATATACCGTATAACATTTTATACTAATCAATTTTATTACATCATATTTACATCATATCCTAGGATATCCGGATTATCCTACTGAAAAATGAACGGATATATCCGTAATCATAGGATAATGAACAAATAAAAAATAAAACCTAAAATTTAAATTTCTTATCATAACCAATTTCAAACATCCGTCATTTTTATTCCCTAGGTATGCGACTCATTATGTATTAAAATTTTATGACATACAGTATGTTAAAATTTCAATAATTCGAAGCTTTGAATATTATTTAAATATTTTTTTTTGATAAAAGTTAATATTTGATATAACATCTGTTTTCGTAATTATATCATATGTGTCCTTTTTATTAAATGTATTTGGGACAACCGACATTTATCAATAGGACATTAGATGATTGATGCCTTTTTTTTTAAAAAAAAAAACTAGCTAAATTTCATACTTTAATAACTTTTGTAAGGAGAAAAAGGGTAGCTATATAAATAGAATTTTATATTTGTTCTTTAAAAAATTTCTGAAGTATATCAAAAAATTTATTTTTCAAAAAAAGATGATATTTAATATTTGATGATTGTTTGTTCAGCTTTATATTATATTTAAGTTTTGTGCATATGATACATTTCATTTAAAAAGGAATATAAAGTGTTTTCTTATGAAAAACAAAAGAAATATGAAAATTTTCTACATAAATAATTGAAATAAAAAGGTTTTAAAAAAAAGTCTTATTATCCTATTTACCAAAATATGTTAACTTTAATAGCGAGATCTTCTTAAACTGACTGGAACGTTAACGTTTAAAGTTTATTAACCATTCCTAATAAGCTGAAGAACATTCGGTACGAATAAAAAAATTAGAAAAGTTACACACGTGTAGTTAAAAAGAGCGAAAATCCTCCACATAAATGGTCATTTGTTTGCGCCATTCCTCGTGATTGTCAATTTAGGATCATGTAACATTAACCTTGTTTAGTCAAGCGTTTTTGTAAAACCGTAAATTATGTAACGTATTAAGTGATCATCACAAAGCTAACGGATTTATTCTTCAAAGTACTTCCAAATGACATACGAACTTTCTGAAATTCCATGCATATTGGTAAAAAAAATCTTAGAAATACTTTTTAGAAAGTTCTATCTTTTAAATTTCCGAAATAATGAATCATCGAAAAAAACTATATATATGTTGTAAAAATTTCTAATTATTCATCAGTACTTATGATAAAATGGAGCTTACAAATGACGATTCTTTTGATCCGACACCAAAGTTAAAATCTAGTCCTGTGCCGATTTCATTTATTTCATTCAATAAACATGATGAAAATTGTATTCGTTGCGGTGATATATATACTGAGACAACAATCAATTATCAAAAATACTGCAAAAAATGTTTATCGGGTTACCTTACTAATATAACTGATGAAAATATATATTTAGATGTGTATATATTTACAAGGAACTTAGAATGTAATGAACATGAAATAAGTAGAACAAAAGAACCACAAAATATTCAAGAATGCTGTAGAAATTGCTTAGAAATATTATTCTTTAAACAAGTACCCAATAATTATTATTTATATGGAAGTAATAAATTTAATTTAAACGATAATGTGATTGAAAGTGAAAAAAATTGTAAATATGGAGGTAATAAATTTAATTTAAATGTGATTGAGAGTGAAAAAAATTGTAACCTATGTAGAAAAGAATTCCATGAAACACATATGTATTTTACATTATGTTCAGATTGTTATCTAATTTCTTCCAGATATACAGAATCAACTTTGACCAAAAAACCTATACCAATTATTTACTTACCATATTGGTATAGTTTATCTAATTGTGAAGCTTGTAATTTAAAATTAAAATTTACATCAGATTGTCAAAAATATTGTGAAAATTGTTTTATATTTTATACCGGATGTAGATATTGTTTAACAACAAATGTTATTTTTGGCGTTACAAATCAATCACAATGTAAAAAGTGTAAAAGAGTATCATCAATAATTTTTGATAGAAGCGGAAATAGCGATTTAGATGATTTTCTTGGTAATTTAAGAATTGAGATTCACAATCGATTGGAAATAACTAGATTTACTGACGAGATAAAAAATATTTACAAATATTACAAATATTATATGCCAAAATCATTAATTGGTTCTATTTATGTTAAGCAAGCAGAAATTTTGATGGAATGGATACCATATTCTCAATTTACAAATGTAAAAGAAATAGCAAAGGGAGGATTTGGTATTATATATCAAGCGACTTGGTTAGATGGTTCAATAAATAATAAAGAAGTTCGTTATAGTGTAGAAATAAGAAAGAGAAGGAAAAATGAAACTGTCATATTAAAAAAGTTTAATAATTCTCAAGGAATTAGTAAATATTTTTTAAATGAGGTAAATACAGTAAATTGTATTTAAATTATTTACTTGATTACAAAATAAATAGTTTGTTTAACCTTTTTACCCTCAAAAATTATAGTTAAAATCGAATCAACATTGTTATGCACTTGATCGTCATATTATTAGAACTTATGGTTTTACAAAAGATCCTAAATCTGATGATTATATATTAGTTATGCAATATGCATCGGGAGGAGATTTACATAACTTTTTACGAAAGCAATTTACAGAAATTACATGGAATCATTGGAATGAACATAAAATAAGTATTTTGTGGCAAATTGCAAGAGGGTATTTATAATAATATATTATTATGTTTATTAGTATTATAAATTTCTAATAATTTAAATTTTTTCTTTTACCCTCCTAGGCTCGAAACAATACATAAAGCAAATTTTATACATCGTGATTTTCATAGTGGGAACATATTAATTGATTTATCATACGATAAAGCACATCAATGGCAAATTGGAGACTTAGGATTATCTCAGCATGAAGGTAGCGCATCATCAAATAATGAAATATACGGAGTGATACCATATATCGCACCAGAAATATTTAAAGGATCTACATTTTCCAAAGAATCTGATGTTTATTGTGTGGGTATGATTATGTGGGAACTTACGACAGGTTGTAAACCTTTTGCTAATGTTGAACATGATATTAGTCTGATTTACAAAATTCTTGATGGAGAACGGCCTGAAATTACAAAAGATACACCTGAATGTTACGCCAATTTAATGAAAAGTTGTTGGGATCCTGATCCGAAAAAAAGGCCTTCTATAACAGGAATTCGTAAGATTTTTTATAAATGGTATTATAGAAATGAGAATTTAAAACAATTCAATCGAGCTGAAATAAAAAGAAAAGAGTTAATAAATTTGAAGGAACTTGGTCCTGAATTTAATGGAAAAACTCATCCAATTGCAATATATACAAGTAGACCATTAAGATCTTTTATTTCTAGATGTTCATCTTATTTTTCAAAAGGTATGTAGTAAATAGGTAAAATAAGTATGATTAGGTCCTTGGATTAATATATCAAATTTTTTTTTTATAGATTACAATTCAATAGAACTAGAGCTTGACATAGATATTAAAAGGTATTTAAGGTTTAAAATTTTTAGTCCATCATTACATACGTAACTTAAATTCAAACTATTCGAATACTATTAGCTCAAACATACTCGAAAAAAAGCGAAATATTGAAGAATTAGAAATCAATTCTTATGGAAATAGTGGTATATATTAATTTGACTAAATGTTATCAATATTAAGTTTATATTTATTTAATTCTTATACATTTTTAAATTAAAAAAATAGGAAAGCACATTAAAATTGAAACCACTTAATGAAAGTTTTCTCACAGGCCGTTAAGTGTAAACAAATCCGAAATATTCTTCATATATAATTTGATTTTTTTTTTTGCATTTTTCATGTACGCTATGCGATACTTTTATTATTTAAGAGATATCATTAAACGTGTAATGTATAACAATAATTGGATATTAATATTACTTATAAACATTAAAGTAGGGTGTATGATTACAAATATTCTATTTTTATATTTAATAAATTTTAGTCAAGTAATGAAACCGAAACACTTTTTGCTTCAGTATTCACAGTATTTAAATAAACATTTTATATGATAGTAAAATCAAATTCTTAATAACGCGGCGCCCAAAGCACGGCCATCAAAATACTTGAATTGTTGTTTTACATGTGTAATATTCTATCATCAAAAATTAATATCTAGCGTCACACTAGAGGTTGGAATCGATTAATTAAATCGGTTAAAAATGCAGAAACAGGCATTTATTTTTTCATTAGTTATATAGCTGATAGATTTACGTAAAAAAAATAAAAAAAATTTAATTTAATTTATTTTAAATAAAACTTTATTAAAAGTGGCTATTTAACATGAATGATAACGAACTGAATGATGATATTTATGAATATCGTGACTATAGGATTGTTGAAAGTATTGAAAAATCTATATCTGGGCCGCCAAGCTTGCATCTTCTAGCTAGTACTACAATTTCTAAAGGACGTCATTTTCGAAATCAACAACTAGTAAGTCATTTAGTCATCAGCAGCAAACAAAAAAATCAAAGGGAATTGCTTAAACATCGCCTGGGCGATGTATTGTATTTTTTTATTAAATATTTTACTGCTTTTATTTTTATTTTTTAACGCTATTTATAAATATTTTTGTAATTAAGTATTTGTATAAATAAATATATTTCGGATATTAATTATGTTATGTGATAGTACGCGAAAAATTATAAAATGTTAATAGCAGGTTAAGTAAAAATATATAATATAAATTAAATAACCTTAAATTTATATATAAATCGGTTAATTAACCGATTGATTAACCGATTAAATTAACTGATTAATTAATCGATTATGGTAGCTGGCTAAATCGATTATTAATCGGTTAAGGTTTTTTCGGTCGGTTTCAACCTCTACGTCACACTTTATAATGAAACCACGTTTGTCTCATTGTCTGGCTATACGTAAAAACTCCTGATAGTAATATTTGATAATGTGCAAGTCTCAGCATTTTGTTATTGCTTGAATATGCGGGATTTAATGACCGATATTTTTACGAGACATTCAATATTGAAATCTCGAACTATAAATATTTAATACAGTAATAAAATTTTTTTTTTTAAGAATAAATTTACTATTTATTAAACATATATATGTATGAACGTTATGAACGAAAAAAAAATGATTGTATTTATCATATCAAAGATATGGCCACAACATTTGAATATTAATAAAAATAATAAAAATATATATATACTGTATATAACTTATTATATATTTACAAATAAATCATCCAAAGAAACCATCTAGTAACTTATTAACTAAAAACATTAAAATATTGTCGATTGTTACCTCAAGTCCCATTTCATCCACTGAACTAACTATTATCATCAAAAATTTTTGAGTATTCCGAGCAAAAAATAAAATTGTTTAAATATTAATTTAGATCACGGTATATTCCCTTTCTATGTTTTCTTCTAGCTTAAATTGAAGATGCGTCGTGAAAAAAATTTGTATGAACAAACATTAATAGATACTCTAAACTGGTTATATTTCTTGTATTATACTTTAGTTTTTCTTTGGATTCATCTTGTCAGTTTCATTCATTTCCTTCCTATAATATCATTTTTACGGTTGATATTATTTTTCTTCCTTTTGCTATCGTTAAGTTGAATTCGTTGCGAGAATTTTGTAAAATATTTTCTGTGAAAAACTCTGATAAATGATCATTTTTCTAATTTATATTCCAAGAAAACTCCAACATGTAATCAATTTTCTAAAAAATTTTTTATAGGGCGTACACGAATCATTTTGAAGAAAAAGAATTATTTAGAATAGTTTTGTTAGGAACTCTTATTTCATCATTAAAGAAACCATCCAATGCATTTAATAGTGGTGTGATATAAGAATAAATTTCTTTTACTTTAAACAATTTGTTAACTTTTGTTCTTTTTTTTAATTTTGTTCTAATATTCAAATTGTTCCTCTTATATGTCTTAATTGTAAATTAGTATTAGTCAAAATAACTAGTGAACCCACGACCTTGGACTTATTTAATTTTTCGAATAATATATTCTTATTAGTCCTTTTATACCTAAATCTACAATTGCAATAATAACTAATAACCATGATAGCTGTTAACATTTAATGGAGCCATTACTATATTAGCTGCTTATTTTTTATCTGTTCCATGATCTAACTTGAGAAATCTTATTAAAATGCCATCCAGATGAAATTAAACCATGTATATTAGCATAATTCTTAAAATTATATGCTATGCTATAATTTATTTCAATATATTTCATATTCTTTGGGTGATTCCATGCAAGATCGGATACTCATAAATGTTGTATTTCTTTCAAATACAAGGTATAAGGCAGTTTCACTTAGTTCATTCGATTGTAGCTGAAGTGAAAAATGTTTTTATATATTTTATATTATCCTTGCCGTGCAAATTTTATTTTTCTTCTTACTTGTGGTTGATTATAAACTTTAAATATAGCAGAATTGCGATTATGTGGCCATAATAACCTTTAAATTCATAAGTAATAGAAATTTTTTCCTATAAATATTATGATATCCATCTCTAAAATATGATTATGAAAATATTCAGTATTATTATAATATGAATAATATTATCAATATATAATGATGGTTTTTATTATGATGGTTTTTTTAGTAGAAATAATCTGATTGCAACTTTAAAATTAATACTAGAGTTTTAAGAATGAAAAAAAATTCAAGATAGGGAGAGGTATTGATAGATTGGTTCTTTTATTTGAATTTTTGTCCATTTATTTTCAGAAAAAGGCTTAGTTTTTTAATTGGGCTTAGTCAGGCAATTGGGCTTACATAGTTGAGGCTTATTTGGCTTAGTTTAACTTAATTGTTTTAATTGGTTTACTTAGTTGAGGCTTATTAGGTTTAGCTTTTTTTAATTTGTCTTAGTTAGGCTTACTTAGTTAAGGCTCATTAGGCTTAGTTTTTTTAATTTGGCTTAGTTGGGCTTACTTAATTAAGGCTTATTAGGCTTAGTTTTTTAATTTGGCTTAGTGAGCTTATTAGGCTTATGCTTAGATTACCGTATGTTTGATCATATGACCACATAAAAAATAACAGTCTCTTAAAAAAAGGCTAATAAAAAAAATATCTTGTCATTTTTGTTCCTGTGTAAAGTTTACAAAGGAAAGAATGATATAAATTATATCAATATCATATACAAATATCCATGATAATTAAAGAACACTCTCTTACTAAAAAACTGTTATACAGTCGCCTCTTAACAGGCTTAATTGGTAATGATAAAATTAAAAAACTATTTATAAATTTCGCGTTATGACATCGACAAATAATTACAGTATATGGCTTTTACAGCATAAGATGAAACAAGTACAATGTTAGTGGTGTGGCGATGTGAGTTTGTGGATTGATGTGTTTAGCGGGTTATTTGTTTATATTTCTTAGAATGTTGTCACATTTCATATAATATTCTTGGAAAAAAGGAGATGAATAGTAAATCCATTCTAGTGCTTGGCTTTTTTCTAAAGGTGAGTAGTGCAGATGGTGAGTTTGTAATTTGTGGATGGTTTTGGATTGGTATGTTTAATACTATTGTGTTTTTATTTTATCTTTTTAGAATGACTTGTATTTTATGATGAAAAAATGGATTTCCAACATTATATCAAGAACTGCGGATTTATGTTAATTCCAAAATGGTGACAAAATATAATTTTTTTATATTTATGATAAAATATTCATTAGTAATACTAATAAGTTTTTCATGTAGGGAAAAAAAAGGGAATCCATTTTAAATACAGAAGAAGTAGTAAAAACACAAAAATAAAATTGCCATAGAAAAGAACCTTCTCGCCTCTTACTTTTTCTTCCCACTCTTGTTAAACTATAAAATAAGCCTAATTAATAAAATAATCTGCCAAATACATTAATTAAAGACCGCTACTATTAATAAGCAGTGGCAACTTAAAACATTTTTAAGTCGAAATATACTGATAAACTAAACCAAAATGCTAGGTAAATCTTTCCTCGAAAATTCTTTAAAGTTGTTTGCATTTGATGATGAGGCAGTATATGATTAGCTTTCATAATATCATTTACACAACTACTACAGTTTGTAACTCAAATAATTAAGACATCTCAAGTCTGCATCAATATTTAATAGTTATTTGGCTCGAAGTGCCAAATAAGTGATTTATCTGGTGTAACAATCAAACTTTCAAACTTTTTTTACCTGATACACATGATATTTTGACAATCTTCAATTATAACATACCGGATAATTTTTATTTATTTATTTATACATAATAATTTAAAAATTAGTAATACAAGGAGATTTAAAAGAAATCTCAATTTAATCCAATTGATTTTCTTTTGTTACTAGAAATGCGAGAATGTACTAAACTATAAATTAGCTAATGGTATCAGTTTTTTTCAGTTTTTTTATTTTAGTAGCAATTTTAAGTAAATTATCTGCCTTTTCTCTATCAATATCAGTTCCGATTCCTCTTTTATAATATCCTATAAGTACATACATTCCTTTAAAGTAACCTTTTTCAATATAATATTTAATACATTTAAATGCTTTAGCTTCATTTTTTTCAACGACTTCATAGAATTTAGCTAAAAGATAATAAGCAGCATCATATCCATTTTCTGCTGCTTTTTTATACCAATAAATGGCTTTTCTTGAATCTCGATCAATTTCTTCACCTTTTTCGTATAAATATCCTAGGCAACATTGTGCATAAGCATAATCTTGTTCAGCTGACTTTTCATACCACCATACTGCTTTTTTTATATCCTTTTTTACAAATCCATACCCTCCTTTTTCAAAATATAATCCTAAAATTACTTGTGCATATTTATTTCCATCATTCGCTGCATTCTTGTACCACTTAAATGCTTCAACACGACTTTTCTCAACAATAATTCCTTCTTCATAAAATTTTGCTAAATATAATTGCGCGTATTTATTTCCTTTTTTTGCTGCTTTTTCAATCAAATGAACTGATTCTTTTAATTTTTTTCCAAAACCTATTCCATTTATATATAAATGTCCTAATATATATATTGCACTATAACATCCTTGTTCGGCTGATCTTTCATACAATTCAAATAGTTTAAAATCATCCTTCTGAGCACTCAAAAGATTATCATAATGTGCACTTATATGAGATTTTTTAAATTTTCTTGCTCTTTTCATTGCTCTTTCAATCCAACAAAATGAGTTTTCAAAATCTTTTTTCAATTTTTCATATAATATTCCAAGTAAAAGTTGAGTAATAATATACCCTTGACTAGCTGATTTTTCAAACCATTCAATTGATTTATCATAATCTTTTTCTATACCTATACCACATAAATAACATCTACCTAAATTAAATTGTACAACTTTATTTCCACTTATTGATGCTTTTTCATAATATTTGAATGCTTTAAAATTATCTTTTTTAATACCATTTCCATTTTCATAACATTTACCTAAATAAAATTGTGCAAGTTTACTTCCATTTTCTGCAGATTTTTGATACCAATAAAAGGCTTTTTTAGAATCTTTATATAATTTACCTAAATAGAATTGAGCAATAGGATAATTATCTTTTGATGCTTTTGAAAATAATCTAATTGCTTTATCTTCATCTTTTTCTATAATAATGATTCCATTATAATAAAGAAATCCACGAAAAAAAATATATTTTGATGATGTTTGATTTCTAATAAGCCAATCAAAAATTTTAATTTGTAAAAATTTATCAATATTTTGAATATTTTGATTGATGATTTCTTTTGCTTCGGTAGGAATATAACACAATTCATCATGAATTCTAATCAAATGGTCAATTAATTTATCAACAATTTTTTCAACATTATCAGTTAAATTAGTTAAATTAAGTATTAATAATTTATTTTTTACATAATCAAACGTATTTAAACTGGAGTTGTCATCTATCATAATTTTTGAAAAGTTGTCGTATATAGATAAATCATAATCATCCATCATGTATTTAAGATCATTATTCTCAATTTCATTTGTAATAGATTTGATAGAATGATCAATTATTGATTTAAGACATGAAACTACTATTTGAATAGATGGTCTTTCGTCAGGATCATCTGACCAACACGCTAAAAAATAGAATTTTACATCATTAATTGTCATGTAAATCATCCCACCCACTCCACTGTGATACGGTTACGGGACATTTTGCGAAAGGACGATTTGCCGAAAAATAGGGCAAAAACTATGCAGCATTATGTATAGCTCAGGCCAAAGATTATTTTTCTGCGAAATAGCTTTCGGCGAAATGTCCCGATACCACTGTGATACGTACCTGTATATATATCACTATATTCAACAGGCGTGTCCTCAATGATCTCCTCTCTTTTTCCATTTACTATCTCCGTGGCTAAACTTTTATCATATTGTGTACCTTCATCATAAAAAGGTCTACGTCCGCTTGACAATAACCAGAAAAGAACTCCTATACTATAAATATCTGATTTAAAATTCATTATATGGGGTTCACTTTCACATTTGATATCAAATGCATCATTAAAGCTTTTTGGATCTAAATAAGGCAGAAAATCTAATACTTTATTGGAATAATTTGATGTTTCGTTCGCTCTTTTAGACAAGCCAAAATCGGCAACTTTTATACTATTTTTATGTATCAGTACATTCTCTTCGTGCTAAAATATAAAGGATAGTAATAATTAGTAATTTATATAAAAACAAAAATGAATGTTTAATAATTAATACGTACCAGGTTACAGTGGATTATACCTTTACTATGAATAAAGTCTATAGCACTTGCAAGTTGTAACGCTAAACAATATTTATCATCCCATTCAAGTTTAGTGAAACTTTTCTTCAAATAAGAATATAATGATCCACCATCCGCGTACTCTAATACTAATGAATACTGATTGTCTAATTTTGAAATTCCATAAATTCGTAAAATATTTTGATGAAAATTAACTTCTTTCTGCGCTTTGAGCTGTTATATATATATATTTTGATAAATAAGATTTTTTTGTGAAATTATTAATTATATGAAAATATGAAATATATTAAAATTTTAAATACCTCATTTACAATTTTTTTAACATCCAATTCGAACGATGTTTTCACGACCAAATTAGTATTAGTGTTATTCCAGTTTGCTTTAAATATTTTTCCGACACTATTTTCAATTATTTTTTTATTTTTAAATTCGTTATAATCATAGTATGTAATGAAATTATTCTCAATTGCTTTTCTTATCCAATCAACGTAATTGAAATTTTTATTTTGTTTTTCGGTTATCGACATTTTGTAAAAAAAATAAACCGTTTTATTTTTTTTCTTTAGCGCTCAAATGGTTTCTTATATAAAACTCGATTGTACTACCGATTTTTATGATTATCGTTAATCATTTAGTTGTAAGAACAGGTTTTGATCGCTATTAATTGTTCACCTTGGTAAGATTGTTCGGAAATGTTAATCTCCGCTGATTCCTAACCCATATTAGGTTAGGAATAAATACTGAAAATGATCAGATCGTTCACAAGTTTGATGGTCTAACATGTGATATGATAAGTGCTTACACCTGAAAGATCATCCTATAATGTACATTTTTGTTCTAAAATTTCGTCATTATGATTTTTTTTTCCTTTTTCAATTTTTGACTATACAAAGTCAGAAATTACGTAAATACATAATTATGTAATATCTTTTTTTTTCTAGATAACGCCACATGGTTTCCAAAATGACTTATATACTGTATTTAAGAATAGCTCGTTTGAAAATCTTTGTTTAAAATTGCAACTTACTATAGTCAACCTTATTTGCTCAAATATTTATTAATGTTAATGTTTTTAATACAAGTGATTTTTTCTTAATTTATAATGAAATCCAACTTTGTTAATAAATATCTGATATTATCTATATAAAAGCAACGCAAATCATTGACGATCGTTAAAAACTTGAAAACTTTTGTGATATTTCCTTAAAAATATAAGTTTTAATGTAAAAAAAAAAATAATAATAATAAATTCTTATTAAAACCGCCAATTTTTTTTTTTTATTGTGCTTTCATTATTTAACAATTAACAAATAAAATTTATAAATAATAAAAATAAAGGTTTTTAACTGGTCACCACACGTCAAATTCTCTAGTTATTAAACAAAACGTATAATGCGCAAAAATTATTTTTTAGATTCTCATTTATTATTTATTATTTTTTTTCTCTAAACAGTTCGTGAAGAAATATGACTGGGGCTAATTTTAATGTGCTTTCTTAGTATTTTTAATTGAAAAAAAATAAATAAAATATAAATGAATATAAATAAATTAAATTAAAATAAATATTTACTATTATTTTTACTAGTGTTGATATTTTGATTCTTTAATATTTTGCTATATTCCAAGTAAATTTCGTCTACTAAGATATAAAATTGCATTGGGTTAAATTGTTAAATTTAGATTTTGTAAAGATAAACGAAAATATTTTTACTTCAAAATCGATTTAACTCTTAGATGAAGCATTTAGAAATAATAGATTTTAATGATCTACTTGTATAAATAGCACTTCAAGTCCGAGTTTCTTTTAATGTATTAATTCTTTTCTTTTTTTCAGCTTGATTAAATAGTTCTATATTTCTTATTTCTGTAATACTATATACCAAGGGTTTTACGAATTTCTGTCATAGTAGGTCTTTTTGGGTCGGAATCCCAACAACTTTTCACTAATTTAGTAAAGCATTCTTGTGTGTCTTCTGTAATATTAGGTCGTTCCCATCAAGAATTTTATAAACAAGCTAAATATCATGTCCAACATTAGCAAAAGGTTTACACACTGTTGTAAATTTCCACATAATCAGACCCATATACAATAAACATCAGATTCTTTAGAAAATCTAGATCCTCTAAATATTTCTGGTGCAATAAAAGGTATCACTCCATATTTTTCATTATCTTCAATTTGCCATTGATGTCTTTTTTCAATTGATGATTTTTCTCGTCGGAATAATATATATAATAAATAAAGAAATTGAATGAATAATACAAATAATACAACGAATATAATATCATAAATATCCTTCTGATATTTTGCCACAAATATCCAATCTTTGAAACTCTTTTGTATGTAGATTTGACGCAGCAACACATTACAAAATCAAACTAACTTTTTTAATTATATAAATAGCTATTGTACTAAATATTTTATTTATTAAAAAATTATTTTTTTAATTTCCTTCTCCCGACTCATTTATGGCCTATTTGGTAAGCCAAAATATTTCAGGTTACAATCCAAGAATCGTTCCCACTTTCCATTTCCCAATACTAGAATGAAGCAAGCATTGATCGAAGCTAGTAACCCCAAACCCGCAGCGGTTCATTAAAGAATATATGGAAAGCCATTAGTCAGAAGATAATGAAAACTTACGGGAAATCCCCTGTAATGGTTTTACGTTGGTTCAATAAAAATCATTAAATTATTATTTTTTTTTACATTGTCATCTTAAAAATTCAAAATAATGCGAAATATTTTTAGCTTCATCATAAAAAAGATTATTATTAAATGACGAAATTTTTTTCTTTTATTTGTCAGCTTAGAAAAATGATAATCATGCTAATCATACGATAAGTGGCCAACATTATGTAATTCTGGTAGGTGTTATCAAAGAGAAAGATCAGTTATTTAGTAATTTTTTTTAAAAAAAATTATTTTTAACCTGAACCGAAAAAATTATTAAAAAAATATTTATCTTATTTTTTTGGATTTTTCGGTATGAAGTATGAACTGAAAAATAAAATAATTAAAAAAAATTATTTTTTGGTATTTCGGTTAGAAAAAAAACGGTTATGCCTTACAGTGTCCGGTCTGATGATCTTTCTGAGTCCAGTCATGTCAATTTTTAGTACAGTCATGTGGATTTGGGTCCGGACCCTCGGACCATGCGGTCCGATGATCCGCTTAAAATCACTTGAGTCCGATTAATTGGAAAGCTTTGATCTACACTGGATTTTTTTTTGCCATTCGCTTCATAATGAGTCATTAAAAAAAAATATTTTTAATTTAATGAGATATTACTATTATGCCATAATGAATAATTATAATGTCATTAATATTATATAATTAATAATTTTAATTAATAATTTCAAATTTGTAAGCCTTCCAAATGAAATTTTACAAAGTATTTCTTTCAATTTTTCATGTATTTAATTTTATAAAGAAAAACATGGATGTAATTAACATTACTGAAAATAATAAAAATAATATTACATTTAGTTCACTAATAGAAATACCAAATGTTAGTTATAAAATTTTCGTGTCAATATTAATATTAATGTTATATTTTATAATAATATTAAATACTATTATAATTGTAATTATTAAATTCAAGAAATGTAGATCAGATCAGTCGTGTAAATTTAGTTCAGTCCGATTGATCAACATCACAGGACTCGGCACAATTAACTCAGTCCGATGGTAGTGAAGTCCGATCAAAGTTTAAATTCAATCCGCATCAAAATTCACATGACTGTGCTAAAAACTGACATGACTGGACTCAGAAAGATCATCGGACCGGACTCAGTAAGGATATACTCGAAAAAAAATAAACGTACACATGACCCGACGCCAATCAAATTATTGTAACCATAATAAATATGGAATAGAGTAATCTAAATATCACCAAATCTTTTTAAATATACGGATATATCATTAACAAATTATTATTTTTTTTTAAATTGCTTTTAGTATAATTTCCAAAACAAGCTTTCATTATACCATTTGTTAAATTTGCTAACTTAGCTATATTCTTTTTTGAATATTCGATCACACAAGCTTACCATTTTAGAAGTGTCTTAAATTATCTAATTTTTTTTTAAAAAAAAAATCTCGTAGAAATACTTGACAAATTAATACATAAATACTACAAGTTAAATCATTTTCAGGTAAATCTTTGTTTATTTTAATTTGTTAACACTTAACAAATCTTAATTTAAACAAATCCTATTCTGGATTTCTGGAATATTCTGGGCGGTTTTATTAACTTCAAATAAAAAATTCAATAAAAATCTGCGTTATATTTGTACCCAGGGCGTCAATCCTCCAAAGTTACATTGCTCTTTACCCTTATGTTTCTTTAATCTCGATTATTTTTTCCAGTTTGTTGACTAAAAATTGATATTTATGCATGAGTTTTTTTACGTCTAATAATGGATTGGTGACTAGATTATTTATATACTGCCTCTCTTCCTTGATAACTTTTCTAAGGTCCCCCTCTCTCTCTTTTTCAGTTTTTGGGCCCATCAATAATCCAAATTTTTGATGATGCTTGTTATCCAAGAATATTTTCCCAGGAAATATTATTTCGTAAAAGTCTAGCGTTTTAAATTTCGCTGAAAAATCCACAACTTACATAATAATATAATACTAACTATAATTAGTTAACAATCTTACCTATTATGGAGAATTTAAATAAAACTGTAATTTGCCAAAATTGAATAAATTTAATTGCCGATCAGATCCTTTGTGTATTTTAACTAGTCTTTTTTCATAATTTTGTTGCCGATCTTGAAATCATTACAACATAAAATAACGTTTCACCATTTTTTTTTATCATTTTTATCATTTTATTTTTTTTTTATTTTTAGTAATTTGCATACGAATTAAAAACATTTTTTTTTTAATAAATTATTTATTAAAATGGATGTAATTAAACTAAGTGATGATGTAATTGAACAAATAAAAGACTTTGATGAGTATCGGAAATTGACTGAAGAGCAACAATCGTTAATTGATAAACTAATAACAGACAAAGAATTAAAAGAACATTATAAAGCAAATGGTTTATGTAAAAAATGTAAGCAGCCTAATACTAGTCTTTGGTGTTATTGCCCATGTAATTTACAAAATTTTAAACAAAATTTCAAAAATTGGACAAGTGGAAATCACGACATTGATGAATTTATTCAAAAAGAACAATTAAAAGCTGAAGATATGTTCCATATCATAGAGTGGATTGAATATAATAAATTTGAAGATGTTGAATATTTAGCAAAAGGGGGATTTGGAACTACTTTTAAAGCAGTTTGGAAGGATGGTCCTTGGAAATTAAATTTTGGCAATAAACAATGGGAACGAAAAGTTGATACAAAAGTCGCTTTAAAATGCTTACATAATTCACAAGATATTACAGCAGATTTTTTAAAAGAAGTAAGATATTTTCTTATAATCTTCATTTTCATAAGTGTTAAATTAACTATAATTTTCTTTTAAGGTTGAATCAAATATTTTAGTATGTAATCGTTCTTGGATAGTTCGTTGTTTTGGTATTACCAAAGATCCAAAAACAAATAATTTTATGATGGTAATGGAATTAAAAAATGGTAGTTTAAGACAACATTTAAATAACAACTTCATTTCGTTGAATTGGGAACAAAAGTTGTCTAGTATAGTTAAAATTGCATTGGGTCTTAATGAAATTCATGATAAAGGATTAATGCATCATGATTTTCATTGTGGGAATATATTAAGCGATTTTGTTAAAGATGCTTATATTACTGATTTGGGATTATGTCAACCAGCAAATTTCAAATCCCCTCAAAATAGTAATAAAGAAATATATGGAGTATTACCTTATGTAGCTCCTGAAGTTTTAAAAGGAAAAGAATATACTCAAGCAAGTGATATTTATGGATATGGAATTATTGCATACGAAATTTGTACAGGTTTCCCTCCTTATTACGATATGGCTCATGATGAATTCTTAGCAATGAAAATTTGTAACGGGTTGAGGCCAAAATCTGATTATAAAATTCCGAAATTAAATTTTGACATTATTAATCAATGTTGGGATGCTGACCCTTTAAAACGACCTAATGCAGTTGAATCACATAAGTTATTTTATAATTTATGGGTTGATATGCTAAATAAAAAAGTGGATTCTGTAATTTATAAGCAAGTTAAAGAAACAGATGAAATTAATAAGAAGTTATCTTTTTCATCACCTTTAATATCTAGTGATACTAGTATATCATATGTGACACATCCTCAAGCAGTTTATACAAGTAAACTTTTAGATTTTAAGAATCTTCCAGAACCAAAAAATGCTGATGATAATGATGATTTACATGGAATAGAATATTCAGGTATATATATAACATGCTATAATAATATAAATTTATTTTATAATGCTAACAATTAATATTTATAGATTCTTTAAAAATGGATTTTACTAAACTTAATATTAATTCTAAAGGTAATTAACTTTGCGTGTGATTTTTTTGATCCATTAAATTTTAATTAAACTATTTTTTTTTATTATAGATGAAAATAATTAAGCTCAGATTACGTAAAATTAAAGTATATATTTATTATTTATTCTTATTATGTAATTATTTATTTTATTTGTATTTGTATTTTGTAATTGGAGATTGAAGGAATTATTTTATGATTTAAATTTAACAAATTTATATAAATTTCCTAATTTAATGGTTGGAATCCTTGCACAAAAGTTTATATTTTGAAACCGGTCCAGTCCGATCCAGATTCCACCCAGAATTTCTTATTAACTAGGATAGTAACCTTTAAGAAAAAAAGTATTTGTTAAAAAAAAGATCTTCACATTTATTTAGTATTAAAAAAAAATCTCCTTTATATTTATTTTTTTCTTTATATTTATTTATTAAAAGTTTCGTATTTACTTATTAAAAAATTTGTTGAAAAGTTATTCATATTGCGGTTACTATTTATTAAAAAAATCATCAGTGAATTTATGACGAGATTTTCACTCGCACAAATATTTTGTATTATTTTTCTCCACAGGATTGGCTCCTAACGAGCTAAAATTTTCAAAATTTAAAAGGTCATCATAATAATTTAAAGTTCAAAGCATTGATTTCAGTTCATAATAAGATTTTTACTCATAATTGTAGCTAGTAAAAGAAAATAAGAAAGTTATTTTTCAAAGATTCAATTTTACAGCACAAAGCTAAGATTTAAATTTTCTATTCAATTTATTTGTAAAAAGGAAAAAAATTTAACGTAACATTAAAAATTGACATAAACTCTTCCAAATGTAAAATGTTTTACCATGATATAGTATACATAACATTAATCCGCAATAAAAACTGAGAATTCCCACACAACCTTTTTTTGGCCAGTGATCGTTATAAGCCGTTCATCGGATGAATTTGTTGTGATGAGATTAAACATCAAAAAGTTAAATTATGCTACGTATACGATAATATATGCCTACGTTTTACCTAGGCCAATTAAATGTGGCTTATTTACTGTCAGGCTTACTCGACTATAGTTAATTATATCAAGTACTTTGCCACAATATTCGTTGGAAAAAGAATGCGTTATAATTACTTTTGTGATATTTTTTCAATTTTTATAAATACTTTGAATTTTCACATTAATAAAAACAAATTTGAATAAATTGAAAGTATAACTATTAACAATATCTTAAGCAAACTTTTAAAATTAATAAAAAAAATGAATATCAAAGCTTATTTATTACCAAATAACTTACATTTATTAAAACTATAATTTTTAAGTTATACCTTGTCCTCCTAAACATCTTCGTCTGTTTCCGTCTGGCAAGTGTGTTCACCTGGTTAAGTATAATTAGTTTAATTTACTATTAATTTAAAAATTTATAAAACTATGGCAGTCGTGATAAGATTTATATAGTACAGAAATACTTTGCTGAAATGTATCAAACTGTGCTCAAATAGTAAATAAATCATGGCCAAATCGTGCAAGTAATCGTGAATTTTCAGTAATGATTTGGAAACAAACTCGTAAATAATCGTCTACAAGCACCTTAAGACGAAGATCAATTATTCGATCCAATAAATCGTCACGAATTTATTATCAAAGTCGTTCCAAAAAATTTTAAGTAATTATAAAATTTAGTAAATTGTATTGTATAAATAATTAATAAATTTTAATCAATATATTTTAAATATCACGTAAATACATTATTAAAACTACATTGTTAAATTTTAGTAAATGTTTGTATCGAAGCAATATTATATATTTATATAATGAAGAAATACTAGTTTCTCATGTATAAATAATTTTCAAATTGGGATTATATCAACTTCACTTTATAGGATAGATCATCGTATCTCAAAGCTTTAATTAAGCATCCAAATATAATCTGAAAGTGAAACTTCAAAAAAATAAGAAACAGTTAATAATCTGCTTCTTTAACTAAGAAAATCAAAGTTTCAAAGTTCGAATAACATTGAAACTTACTCAGCCTAGCTATTATAGAAATGAAGCTTGAGCCCTAAAAAAAGTGTCTAGAACAGTAAGTAAATCATTTTTCAATTTGATAAAAGTAAAGTTTCAAAATAATTCTGAACTTAACATATATCTTTAAAATTTCAAAGGTCGAAACTACAAAAGAAAAACATTAGCCGAATATTCTAGTTAGAAAAAAAAATTGAAGTTTCAGAATAGCGAAACTTACCATTTTCACAAAAATCCAAACCCTACAAAAGAGAGAAAAAAAAAAACCTTAATAAATGTTTCTTTAAAAAGTAAAGTTTTGAAGTCCAACTTAGAAACTTACCCAACGATCCTTTCAGATACAAAATATGAAGAAATGATTTTTTTAAAATTTTCAATGTTTCCAAAAACTTAAAAATCGAACTGATTGTCTAAAAAAAAAAAGAATAGAACAGTTAATAACAGTTCATTAAAAGTAAATGAATTAAAGAAAAGAAATCCAAAAAAAAACTCGTCCTAAAAGTCAAAGAAAAAAAGAGAATGAAATGTTAGTAACGTTTCATTGAAAAAAATAATGTTAATGAACAATAATCCACTTACTGAAATCAAATTCATAAAATTGTACAAGACTTACAAAAGAAAAAAAATGAAGATAATGTTAGTAAATGTTTCTATTCATTAAAATGTAATAAAAAAAATTAAAAAAATGAAGTAATTTTTTTCAATCCAGCGTCCAGAGTAGGGATTGGAATCGATTCCCATTATTAGAATCGATTCTAAAATCGATTAATCGCGATTAATCGTTTCGCAAATACCGATTTTTTTTTATACTATTTATAATAGGTGTGTTTAAACACATATCACGTGATTACAAAATTACAGTGATCGACGAACAAATTTTCCTTTTTTGGAAATTTGTACAACCTTGTGCGATAGCAACTTGAATTTTATTGGGAGATAAAATTTCCTTTTTAGGAAGTTTGTGTTCCGTCACGTGATTCGCGGGCGGAATTATGAATTTGGCCAAAATTAACTATTATGAACAAATAATAATTTACGGTCAAATTAACGAAACTGCGCCACAATAAGTAGATTCGATTTTTATTCGAGATTCGATTTAAAATCGATTCTTATCGATTTTCGATAGTTTCGATTTTAATCGAATCTTTTCCGATCCCTAGTCCAGAGGCCACGAAGAACCAGCTATTGTAGCGAACGATCGATCACGTGACCAAAATTCGGCCTAATCACGAGGTGACGATCAATGTTCGAAATGTTGCATATGTTGCATATATGTAACATATCAAATATATGTAAATATCAAATATGTTCAACATATCAAATATATGCAACATATCAAATATGTTTAATTTATTTAATATATTTAATATATGCAATATGTTAGATATTTTTAGTCTGGTATTTTTACATATTTATAAACCTGTAATTAGATCTGTAGTTGAGAAAGAAATTGAAGTTCAAGTAGAAGAGTTTTCTTAATAAAAATGGTTCTAATGATTATATTAAATAAACTGTTGTTTGAATTTAACGAAATATAAATTTGTTATCCTTTATTCGTGTTGGAAGTATATGCCGACGTACAGTGCTATACTACACGTCTGATTGGATTGTTTATTAAGTGTTTATACATATAGTTTATTTATTGATTATACCCGCCTACCTATATACCTTCTGCTTACCCTTTTCCATTTGTTTACGTTTGTAAACGCTAAAGAACTGGCTATAACACTATCAAACTATTATAAAATAAAAAAACAAAATATAAGTAAAAAAGGTTTCATTTTTTAAAAGTTAGAAAAAAAAATAAAATAAATCTAACCACTTACCATAATCCTGTATCCAAAGAGACTGGAGTGCTGTAATAAGAGTTACAAAAGAAAAATGGCCAGCATTATATAAAAAAAAATCATTTTAACAAAAAAATAAGAAATTATTTAAAGAAAGATTGTGAAAATTAAATTAAAATGTGGATATGTAATAAAAAAGATTTTTCTGAAATTATAATAGAAGTAAAAACTGAAACGTTACTAGACGTTTCGTAGGGAGAGAGTAGAGAGAGGGGGAAGGATGAAGGGAAGTGAAAAGGGAAAGGAAGGATAACATTAGAATTTTATGATAACTTTAAATCAATCACATTTATTAATTTATCATATTCGTAAAAAATTAAAAAATTGTTGTACCACCACCTAGGAGTTTGTCAATACATTGTCAATTTTTTCATGACACATAACTTTTTCTACTATATTTGCTATTTTTAAAATAAATATTATAATTTTATAAATAATTAGTTATGAAAACAATAGTGATGTTTTTACAATTTGTGGCATTTCGCTAATATACGGTAATGCGAATTTATGGCTAATTCATGACGAATATTGCGATCACTTAACAATTAAATGACAATTGACAAAGCACAAAGTTTCTGCAAAGTATTAGACAATATAATTTTTTTTCTTCTATATAGATGGAATAAGTCATTAAATAAATTCAATTTTTTTTAAAAAATTCGGCGTTGTACAAAGAACAATCAACTTTTAGTAGAAATAAGTGGTAGTATAATTGGTTTTAATTTACTTTTAATTTAAAAATTTATAAAACGTGATAAAATTTATATAGTACGAAAAATTAGATAATATATATGTCACCGTAATTTTTTTCTTCTATAAACATTAAATACAATTTTTTTAAAAAAAATTAGCCGGCGCTGTAAATAGAACGATTTCAAAAGTTTTTCAGTAAATAATCTTTATTAAGGCTGAAATAAGTGGTAAAGATCCAAATATGTGTTGAATTTTGTATAAAAGGAATACTGCAATAAATCTCTCAAAATGAACTTTTTCTAACCCTCTAGTTGTTAAAAGTCTTTGTATGTTAAATATTATAAAAGTTTATATTGTACAAAAATTTTATCATTATAAATTAACGTGTTACGTAATACCTTTAAAGAAAAATGACATAAGTGACGTAACTTTAAACATCATACTTACCAAACTGATTTAACTGATTAGAGAAATTTTTATATATAAGTGTATAGTAATGATTTATATTTATTTTATTACAGTGTCGCTTAAATTTTAGTATTAAATTTTGTAAATTTTATTTTTTGCAAGTTTGATAAAATATATCAAATAATGACACATTCTCAATATTGGAGTAATTGGGTTAGATAGTACAATAGGAAGATTGGTTAGATATATGAATTTTGCAGGAATATTTCATAAGTCCGCCGTGATATAAAATACAATAAAATCATTTATAAATTTCTCCTATTATTCAAAACTTCTGTATATTAAGACATAAAAAATGAAATATACAAATATTTAATATTCAAAAAAATAATTTTATTCTCCATGGAATCAATTGAACCGCAGCATCAAAGCTATCTTAATGTATTTGCCATTTCTTAATTGGTTACGAATTTCAGGAATCTCTCCATATTTATTGAATGGAAGAAGTTTTTCTCCCATTTACATATTCTTCCTAAAACATAAAGACCTTTTGACAGGTGAAAAGTTCAATCAGGATTTATGTCAGACTGGAGGGTGAAATATAGTATTAAGGTTGTCATTAAAATATAATACCAAAATCATTATCTGAAAAATTTTGAACTATTGTTATAAAGTACTCGTAGCGAACATGTATTCAAAAAGCAGGAAATACCGTAAATGATATTATACAAAATCAAACTGTTGCTCTGAACTTGGTGAACAACCGAACGGAATAGCATGGCTTTCTGATAATAACAGTGATAACAGTGGATATGCTGCGGCAATTTGAAATTAGAAACTTATCATCGTACTTACAAGTCTCGTGTTTTATGTTTAGGACAGTGTAACTTGTAAGACCTACGCCCGTAGTAAACTACGTTGCCACCGCGGTCTTAAGTACTCTTAACAAAAATGATGTTTTATTAATAATATAAAATTACACAAATATAATATAATATATGCTTGGTCCAATAATGTCGGAATTCTAAAAATTATAAAAATAGAATTCTAAAAATCCCCTTTTTGTTAATCAAATATTCTCCCTTTTTATTACTAAAATGATTTTCGTAAAAATAAATTCTAAGTGTTTTGAATTTCCCTTTTTTTCAACTTTGACAAATGATCTTTATCAAAATAAACCCTAAGTCCAAAAACATTTCTTATTTTACCCTTAATAAACCTTTTTCCTCACATCGTCAGAATTTCAAAATTATCATTTTCGACATTTCATAATTATCAACTTTTCAAAATTCCTCTTTTTTGTTCTTCGTACCCTTTCCTTATTTGGTGATACTCCGATCCTAGTTTCCTCTTCTAAACCTAAAAATAAATGTTTTACATCGTTACGGATGTAACACCAGATGCTTGTGTTACCACCAGTTTTATTACGTCAAAGAGTGATAACTAAACAACAAACAATAAAATATATTGCGAAATTAATAAATAATGTGTATAAAATAAGATATTGATAATTAATAATAATTAGCGATAAAATATATATTATATTGTCAAAGATTTAAAATGTATAACAATTATTCAATAAAAACATTAATGAAATGTCATAACCAAAAAAAAAATGATCGGTGGGTTCTTTATTAATGTAGTGTCATAATTTTACCAAAATTGAAAGTAGTAGATCAGTCATTAATTTAATGATCACTGCTTAATATTGGCCAATAAAACTGTGGTTTCCATAGAGGATATAACCTATGCATTTGAGACACGAATACACGATGGATTAGGTTATATCCTTTGCCGATCAGGCTAATGGGGTGATAATTGCCGATCAGATTTTGTGTATTTTAACTAGTCTTTTTTTCATAATTTTGTTGCTGATCTTGAAATCATTGCAACATAAATAACGGTTCACTATTTTTCTTTTTTTTTTTTTCTTTTTTCTTTATTTTTAATAATTTTTACATACGAATTAAAACATATTTTTTGCTTAATAAATTATTTATTAAAATGGATGAAATTAAACTAAGTGACGATGTAATTGAACAAATAAAAGACTTTAAAAATAAGTATCGTCACTTGACTGAAGAACAAAAATCGTTAATTGATAAACTAATAACAGACAAAGAATTAAAAGAACGTTATAAAAAATACGGTCTATGTCATGATTGTTCTCAGCCTGAAACTGGTAGTTTTTATTGTCAGTCATGTAATTCACCACGTTTTAAACAAAATTTCAAAAATTGGACAAGTGGAAATCATGACGTTGATGAATTTATTCAAAAAGCACAATTAAAAGCTAAAGATTGGAAACATATCATAGAGTGGATTGAATATGATAAATTTGAAGATGTTGAATATTTGGCAAAAGGGGGATTTGGAACTACTTTTAAAGCAGTTTGGAAAGATGGTCCTATATGGGATTATGACAATGATCAATGGAAACGAGCTGCTAAAACAAAAGTCGCTTTAAAGTGCTTATATAATTCACAAGATATTACAGCAGATTTTTTAAAAGAAGTAAGATATTTTCTTATAAATCTTCATTTTATAAATGTTAAGTTAACTATAATTTTCCTTTAAGGTTGAATCAAATATTTTAGTATATAAAACTAAATACATAGTTCGTTGTATGGGTATTACTAAAGATACAGAAACAAATAATTTTATGATGGTAATGGAATTAAAAAATGGTAGTTTAAGACAACATTTAAATAACAACTTCTTTTCACTGAATTGGAAGCAAAAGTTGTTTAGTTTAACTGATATTGCATTGGGTCTTAAAAATATTCATGATAAAGGATTAATGCATCATGATTTTCATTGTGGGAATATATTGAGCGATTTTGATAAAGAAGCTTTTATTACTGATTTAGGATTATGTCAACCAGCAAATATCAAATCTTCTCAAAATAGTAATAAAGAAATATATGGAGTATTACCTTATGTAGCTCCTGAAGTTTTAAGAGGAAAAGAATATACTCAAGCAAGTGATATTTATGGATATGGAATTATTGCATATGAAATTTGTACAGGTTTCCCTCCTTATCATGATATAGCTCATGATGAATTCTTAGCAATGAAAATTTGTAACGGGTTGAGGCCAAAATCTAATTATAAAATTCCGAAATTAATTTTTGACATTATTAATCAATGTTGGAATGCTGACCCTTTAAAACGACCTAATTCAAGTGAATTATATCAGTTAATTTATGTTTTATGGACTAATAGAAATAACGCGAATTCTGTAATTTATGGACAAGTTAAGAAAACAGATGAAATTAATAAAAAGTTATCTTTTTCATTACCTTTAATATCTAGTGATACTAGTATATCATATGTGACACATCCTCAAGCAGTTTATACAAGTAAACTTTTAGATTTTAAAAATCTTCCAGAACCAAAAAATGCTGATGATAATGACAATTTACTTGGAATAGAATATTCAGGTAAACATACATAACATGCTATAATAATTTAAATTTATTTTATAATGCTAACAATTAATATTATAGATTCCTTAATAATGGATTTTACTAAACTTAATATTAATTCTAAAGGTGATTAATTTTGCGTGTGATTTTTTTGATCCATTAAATTTAATTAAACTATTTTTTTTTATTATAGATGAAGCTAGTTTTTGTTAATCAAATATTCGCACTTTTTATTACTAAAATGATTTTCGTAAAAATAAATTCTCTGTTTTGAATTCCCTTTTTTCTCTACTTTGACAAAATGATCTTTATTAAAATAGACCCAAAGTCCAAAAACATTTCCTTTTACCCTTAATAACCTTTTTCCTCACATCGTCAGGATTTCAAAATATCATTTTCGACATTTCATAATTATCAACTTTTCAAAATTCGAACCCCTTTCCTTATTTGGTGATACTCCGATCCTAGTTCCCCTCTTCTAAATCTAAAAATAAATGTGAACACAAAAATAGTTTTACATCGTTACGGATGTAATACTTGTAACATTCCACAATTATAAATTTTTAATACTTTGAAATTTTATACATACACTTAAATTAAATATGATACTGCGCCCCTCAATAAATAAATTCCTTTAAGTAGTAATTCTGGCATTACAACGGGTAGATGATTTTACGATTTTGCAACAATAATCTGCACATCTGAATTTCTAACTTACAAAACACTTTAATTAAAAATTATTTACAGTCAATTTGTTACATATTCAGATTTTATTTTTAATTTAAAAAAATAAATAAATAAATAAATAAATAAAATAGATAAATAAATAAACTAATAATAAATACATGAATCAAGAAGATTTAAGAAATCTCGTATTTTACTAGCTATTTGATGGCTTCTTTTACGAAACATTATAAAATTGGTTAGAGAATGTTACATCAGTTCTAGTCGTTTTTGTGCATCTTCATTTCCACTTTCAGCAGCAATCCTGCTGTATAATTCAACTGCTTTTATTTTATCAATATCAGTTCCAATTCCATTCTCGTAACAGTTCCCAAGTGTATACATTCCATCTAAATAACCTTTTTCAACTGATTTTTTATAATGCTCAAATGCTTTAACTTCATTTTTTTCAATACCAATTCCATAATGATAACAATTACCTAAAAAATAATACGCGGCTTTAAATTCATTTTCTATCGCTTTTTTATACCAATAAATTGCTTTTTCTAAATCTTGATCAACTTCTTCTCCTTTTTCGTATAAATATCCTAGACTACATTGTGCGTTGCCATGCTCTTGTTTGGCTGATTTTTCATACCACTTAATTGCTTTATTTATTTCTTTTTATGTTCCTATACCTTTTTCATAAAAATACCCTAAATTTAGTTTGAGCAATTTTATTTCCATTTTTTGCTGCTTTATCAATCCAGTAAAATGCTTTTTTTAAATCATTTTTCTCTTTTCTATATATCACTCCAAGAACATATTGTGCATTACTACATTTTTGCACAGCTGATGTCTCAAACCATTCAGTTGCTTTTTCATCATCTTTTTGTGTTCCTTCGCCATTTTCATAAAGATATGCTAAATGTAATTGTGCAACTCTACATCCATTTTTTGCTGCTTTTTCAATCCAGTAAAATGCTTTCTTTAAATCATTTTTCTCTATTTTATATAATTTTCCAAGAGAAGATTGAGCACCACTATATCCTTGCATAGCTGACTTTTCATACCACTTAAATGCTTTATTAATGTCTTTCTGTATTCCTTCCCCTTTTTCATAATAATATCCTAAATTGAATTGTGCAACTTTGTTTCCATTTTCTGCTGCCTTTTTAGCCAAGTAAAATGCATTTTTTAAATCATTTTTCTCATTTCTATATAATATTCCAAGATAAAATTGCGCGTTACTACATTTTTGCATGGCTGACTTTTCATACCATACAATTGATTTTTCTTTATCTATTTGTGTTCCTATACCATTATAATAAAAATATCCCAATTTAAATTGTGCAAATTTATTTCCATTTTTTGCTGTTATGTCATAACATTCAAATGCTTTGAAATCATCTTTTTCGGTACCATTTCCATTTTCATAACATTTTCCTAAATAAAACTGGGCAAGTTTATTTCCATTTTCTGCCGATTTTTGATACCAATAAAAAGAATCTTTAGGATCTTTATACATTTTACCTAGATAGACTTGAGCGATAGGATAATTATCTTTCGATGCTTTTGAAAATAACTCAAATGCTTTACCCTTATCTCTCTTTATAATAATTTCATTAAAGTAAAGAAAACCATGAAAGAAAATATATCTTGATGATGTTTGATTTTTAATAAGCCAATCGAAAATTTTAATTTGTAAAGATTTACTAATATTTTGAATATTTTGATTGATGATTTCTTTTGTCTCAATAATAGTATAACCCCATTCATCATGCATTCTGATTAAATGTTCAATTAATTTATCAATAATTTTTTCAACGTTATTAGTTAAACCAGTTAAATTAAGTGATAAATTATTTTTTACAAAATCACTTGTTAAGTCATCATCTATTATAAAATTCGAGGCACTGTTGCATGTGGATATATTACAATCATTCATCATGCCTTCAAAATCATTATTTAATGACTTTTTCTCAATTTCATTTGTAATAGATTTGATAGAATAATCAATTATTGATTGAAGACATGAAACTACTATTCGTATAGATGGCCTTTCATCAGGGTCATCTGACCAACACGCTAAAAGAAAAAATTTATATCATTAATCGTCATATAAATCACTCATCATCCGTGAGACGTAAAATTTATTACCTGTATATATATCACTATATTCAACAGGTGTGCCCTTAATAATTTCTTCTCTTTTCCCATTTACTATATCCATGGCTAAATTTACATCGTACTGTGAACCTTCATCATAAAAAGGTTTACGTCCGCTTGACAACAGCCAGAAAAGAACTCCAATACTGTAAATATCTGATTTGAAATTCGTTATACATGGTTGACTTCTACATTTAATATTAAATAAATTGTTCAAGATTCTTGGTTCTAAATAAGGCAGAAAGTCTAATACTTTGTTAGAATAATTTGATGTTTTGTTCGCTCTTTTAGACAAGCCAAAATCGGCAACTTTTATGTTATTTTTATGTATCAGTACATTCTCTTCGTGCTAAGATATAAAGGATAATAATAATTAATTTATATAAAAAAAAAATGAATGCTTAATAATTAATACGTACCAGATTACAGTGGATTATACCTTTACTATGAATAAAGTCTATAGCACTTGCGAGTTGTGACGCTAAGNTGTAACGCTAAACAATATTTATCATCCCATTCAAGTTTAGTGAAACTTTTCTTCAAATAAGAATATAATGATCCACCATCCGCGTACTCTAATACCTGTCTCTTATACACATCTAGATGTGTATAATTACTATGAATAAAGTCTATAGCACTTGCGAGTTGTGACGCTAAGCAATATTTATCATCCCATTCAAGTTTAGTGAAATTCTCCTTCAAGTAAAAATATAATGACCCACCATCAGTGTACTCTAAAACTAACGAATACTGGTTGTCTAATTTTGAAATTTCATAAATTCGTAAAATATTTATATGAAAATCAACTTCTTTCTGCATTTTGAGCTGGTGATATGCATTTTGATAAATAAAAAATATTGAATATGTGTAATTATATTATATTAAATATATATTTAATATGTTAAATACCTCATTTACAATTTTTTCTACATCAAATTCATACGATATTTTCACGAACAAATTAGTGTTAGTGTTATTCCAGTTTGATCTAAATATTTTTCTGACCGAACTATTACTATTTTCAATTTCCTTTTTATTTTTAAATTCGGTATGATCATAGTATTTGATAAAATTGTTCTCGATTGCCTTTTTTATCCAATCAGCGTAATCGAAATTTTTAGTTTGTTGTTCGGTTATCGGCATTTTGTAAGAAAAAAAAGGTTTTTATTTGTTCTTTAGTTCTCAAGCAGTTTCTTATATAATTTTCGTTTGTGCTTTTGTGCTACCGATTTTTGTCATTGCTGTTAATCCGTTAATCCTTAGCAGTAACAGGTTTTGACCATAATCGGATAATAAATTTACCGGCTATTGTCATTATTATCCAACTTGGTAAGATTGTTTGGAACTGCCTTTGTCTCTGCGGATTCCTAACCCATATTAGGTTAGTTATGTGAAGTAATTCATATACTTGTTTGTCTAAAAGTTTTTTTACCAGTTACTTTCCATTTCTGACTACATGTATATATAGTCAAGACATAATGTAAAAATATAATTATGTGTCTTTTTTTTCAGATAACGCCAGCTTAACGTTACATGGTTCCATTATATAGATTGAGCCCATACCTCTTTGACCCATATACTGTATATAAGAATAGCTCGTTTGAAATCCTCGTTTAGATTTGCAACTTACTTTGAGTAGACATGTTCGCTTAAATATTTATTAATATTTTGCAAGAATTTTTTTTTAATCCAATTTTATTAATAATAAACTAGGGAACGGAGACCGTTGTTAAGTCCGGAGCAAAAATCACGTGATAATATAAAAGTTACTAGGTGGTGCAATATCAAACTAATCATGTATCGACTCATTAGTGGAGGCGGACAACGGCCGATACGCATCTCCTCTTTTTTTGATATAAGAGTAAATTTTTTTTTTTTTTTTTTTTTANAAATAAAAAAAGGTAATTAAAACTTCCAGAAATTTACCGAACGCTTGATTGCTCCTGTACAATTAAGTTCGCTTCGTGTATATCTTTTGCGAGTTTTTTTTTTTTTTTTTTTTAAACAGTAACGCGCTTTATTAGTTGAAATCGATTTAAATAAATCTGGTAACCAATACAAAAGCACCTAGAGCAAAGAAGATATAAGAGTAAATCATGATCATCATACAGTAAAATATTTATGTGACAAACTTTTATAGAAATCAAACATTGTTTTTTAACATGATTAAAACTAACAATTATACAAATCAACTGGCGTTGGTATTGATAAGTGAGATGAAATATTGTTAATCACAAAAGCAAAGAGATATGAGGAAAAACTCTTTCTGATGATTTTTCGGACCAAAATTTTACGAAAGAAATTTTTACTTTTATTATACAAAAATTTATTAAATAATACACAAAATGTCAGAAAATACAGAGTTATCAAAGGAACAGTTATTTGTAAAGGAGTATTTGTTAGAATATTATAGGGGTTTCGCAGGACTAGAGTTAGAATATTTGAGAGACTTTTACGAAGCTGAAGAGAAGAACGAGCAAATAAGTTTAGCGGAACAAGAAAAGTTGCACTTAGAAGAAGAAAAGTTGGCTAACTTACCCCCAGGAAGATTTTTTCAGTCATACTATTCTGAAAGATGTACAGAAAAGAGGCACTACAATATGTTTCGCGCCTCTATCTTTACTATCAAATTAGGAGGGAACAATATAAAAAGTATTTTAGAAAAAATTTTTCGTGAGAATCTCTCAAAAGGCGCAGCAAAAAAAGACACCGCAACAACAATTGGGCCAATAAGAGGACCAGTGCTTATGAGAGATGGCAAAGAAATTCCAATTGGATGGGAAGAGGAAAAAAAGCTACTGATAGAACTGAAAGATGTACGAATACATGAACTAGAAGAGGAAGTAGAGCTTTTCAAACGGTACAACAATAATGCAAAAGAAAAAATAGAATCGCTGAAAAAAGAAATAAAGATAGCTGAAGAACGAATTATATTATTAGAAAATGATGCAAGAAAATTCTCAGAATCAGAAAAGAAGATAACGAGTGAAATTGCTACATCCAGTAAACCGAAAAGTAAGACAAAAAGCCACGATCAGCACCAAAAATCCAAAAAGAAGAAATCATCGACACAAGAAATTAATAAAGGGAAGATCACCGAAATTCCGGTTCAAACAACTTCCGATGATGATTATCTGGGAAAACATTTTGCCGAACAATCACGTGATTTGAAATTTTACGATTTTCCTGCTTATTGGAAAGATAACGATATTTATGAAATGTTGGAGAAAGTAGGATATATAGAAAGATTAGAAGTCAAATGGAATTATAAGTACAGAACCGTTCGGGCTAGGATTCGTTTGACAAAAGAAATGGAAGAGATATTTCTAAAAGGAGGATCCAATATAGCTCTAACAAAAAATGAACGAACGTACTTTTTCAGGATGTTTGATGCAGAATTAAATGCAACAGAGATAAAAAAGAGGTACGAATGGCAAGCTTATAAGAAATTAAACGAAGAATCGATGAAAAAAGAACACGAGATAATAAGAGATTATAATAAAAATCTCGGTGGACATTTTGCCAAAATTATCAAGATCAACAAAATTAAATATATTTTGATATACTTTAACAACGAAAGCGATTTATTAAAAGCGATTTATAGGTCCACAATGGAAGAGGATTTAGGGAAAGGACTCCAAATAAAAAGTCAAGATGAGTTAATTGGTAAAGAGGGTACGTACAAGAAAAGAACAGGAATAAACAGATTTAAGGTGCCAACGTAAACAACATCTAAAGATAAATTTGTTGATGCCAAATCTGATATCCTGTCAACAATACCAAGAACGCAAGAGGAACATGAAGAACTTGATAACTTAAACAACAATTTTAAAGAAAGATTGGATGATTTAGAACAGAAATCAAGCTTGCCAGATGAGAAAGGAAAGAAGTCGAGGATAAAGACAATATTAACAAGAATAAAAAACGTGTAGTGACAACACAAGGACGAAGGAAAGATTCTGATAGCGAATAAACAAAATCATCCTTTAAATTTTAACAAAATTATGATGTAACTTTAGGGCAACACTTGGATCTGACTAAAGGCTACGCGGACAAAAGAGGAATTTTTGGATGCTATCTTGGGTATTTCCATCAAAAAGTGTAGTTTTAGAGTTTTTTTTTCTTAATGTTTAAATTTTATTTTTCTTTTTATTCATTTATTTTGTTTTTACAAGTAGTTATTTTACAATTTTAGTATATAGTCAGTAAAAGTCTCAAAACATAGAAAATATTAAAAATCAAAAAACATTATTAAAATTTAGATTAGTAGCGTAGTATAACAATAATTTAGCTATAACAATAGGATAAAATAGCTGATTTTTCTATTTTTGTTCGAATACTTTAGTATAGAGGGTAAATTGATTTTTCATTTTGCTTTCTAAGTGTTTTAATGTTTATGTAATCTAATAAATAAATAAACGCGTTACTAATTTTATAAAAAAAAAAAACACAAAAGCAAATATACATAAACAAACTCTGGAAACTTTCATCATAATTTATATAAAATCTGACGTCATACTGACATTACAAAGTTGATTGAGACTTTGCATGTAATATTTAGTCAATTCAAAATTAAAAAATAAACATTTATGCGAAAAAAATTATGTGAATATAGTTACTATATAGAAAATTGTTTAAACAAATAAAAATACTTATTGCGAATAAAATTACTCATGTAAAAAAAGAAATTATTGAATAAAATTACACATGAGTAAACTTTGTTATCAATCTGTTGCACATAGTACCTAAAAAAATATATAAATTTTTATTTGCTATTGGCAACACCATTTCGCAACTCCATTTTTTTTAGCAACTAAGTCAGCAACAACGGATAAATATTTGAATATAAAAAAGTTTCGTGATTTTTGTAATTTTGAACGTTATAATTTGGAATCATGATATAATAGGTTATAAAATATAAATGTTTCTTCATAAGATTTTTTATGTTCTCAAAATATGTAGTGCAATCTAATCCCAATACTATGGTGTCATAGCGTTACAGGCTTACAGCCACAATAAGTAGAATACTTACAGTACTATGTTATGTTACTTTACCCCTGTAAAAAATCTGATCCGTGTTTTATCTTTCCATGTTTTTCCGTGAATGTATCATTTTCATGGAATTTATAGCCTTAAATCATGGAAATTTTCATCTTGCTAACATGGATATTCGTGAAATAATATAAATGGATTAGGGCAAATGTATCATTTTCACGGAATTTTTATAAAAATTTTTTATAGGGTACGCTTTTCATTATTATTTTAACATTAGTTTTTAACAGGAATTTGACGTTGTAATTACTGGAATTTTGTGAGTATTTATGGTTTTCTATTAATTCAATTTATATCTAAATTACCAGGCAAGTTACTTATCAACTATTCAAGTTTAAATCAGCAATTAGTTTACGAACATAGAAACATCCGTAAATCCGTTAAAAAAATGAAAATCACAAAACCAATTACACCATGCATTAATTTAGTTGGAATACTTTTTAACAACTCGAGATTCACAGTAATTGTTAAGAATGAGGGTAAATTAAATGGATACATTAAATGTAAGCGATTACTGTACTTTGCGAATTGGTGATTGCGTATCCACGCAAATTATCTGGAAAAAAATTACCAGATTATAGTTATCATAAGTCCGGAGGACATTTGGCAAATTTTACAGTGTTTAGTCAGCAATTATTAAAAATTGGCCAGCTTTAAGCCAATTTTGAGCTGAATATCACGATTATGACATGATCAATTTTTAAAATTTTCCAAGGGTCCCGTTACTTTATTTACTTTATGGTCAAGTCATTGACTATACTATTGTCAAATCCAATGTTCCACTGAAGTCACGTGAAGACTTCTTAATATAGTAAACTCTGCAGAAAAATAATTGCTATTTTTAAAGGCATGATTACGCAATTTCTTGACCACTTTTTTAATTCGCCTCGAATAATTTTTTTTTTTATTCGTATACGTAATAATAAAACACTGAGAATAGCTCGTTAATTTATCGACGCTTGTATTCACGCACAAGAATTCAATTCTGTGTATAAACTAACCTTGAATCACATTCTAAAATGAGTAACGAAGACACTGCCGCTATATAACGCGAAATCCATGCTATATTTATTTAATTAAATAAATTTATATTAACAAATCAATAGACATCTTCATAATTAATTGATTATATTTATATTGTTAAATACAATTGTATTTGAATTTTTATAAAACAAAAAAACCATAATAAATAAAATTTCTTTTTATTATAAAATTGATTAGAGAATATAAATTATGAATTAGTTTATTCAATCAGTTCTACTCTTTTTTGTGCATCTTTATTTCCCCTTTCAGCGGCAATTTTATACCATTTAACTGCCTTTTCTTTATCAATTTCAGTTCCTATTCCAGTCTCATAACAGTATCCATGCATATATATTCCATTTAAATATCCTTTTTCAGCTGATTTTTTATAATACTCAAATGCTTTAACTTCATCTTTTTCAATATTACCTAAATAATAATACGCGGCTTCATACCCATTTTCTGTTGCTTTTTTATACCAATAAATTGCTTTTTCTAAATCTTGTTCAACTCCTTTGCCTTTTTCGCATAAATGACCTAGACTACATTATGCAATACCATACTCTTGTCTAGCTGATTTTTCATACCATTCAATTGCTTTTTTTATATTCTTTTTCGTTCCCTTATTATTCTGATAAATTGCACCTAAATGATATTGAGCAAATTTATTTCCATTTTCTGCCGCTTTTTCAATCCAACCATACGCTTTTTCTGAATTTTTTTCAGTGCCTCTACCTTTTATATATAAATGCGCTAAAGCATATAGCGCATTATTATATCCTTGTTTAGCTGATTTTTCATACCATTCAAATGATTTGCCATAATCTTTCTCAATTCCTGTACCATAATAATAATATTTACCTAAATAAAATTGTGCAGCTTTATTTCCGTTTTCTGCTGCTTTTCTAATCCAGTAAAGTGCTTCTTTTAAATCTTCTTCCTCTCTTTTATATAGTAATCCAAGACAAAGTTGTGCATCACTATGATTTTGCATGGCTGACTTTTCATACCATACAATTGATTTTTCTTTGTCTATTTGTGTTCCTATACCATTATAATAAAAATATCCCAATTTAAATTGTGCAAATTTATTTCCATTTTTTGCTGCTATGTCGTAACATTCAAATGCCTTGAAATCATCTTTTTCGGTACCATTTCCATTTTCATAACATTTTCCTAAATAAAACTGGGCAAGTTTATTTCCATTTTCTGCCGATTTTTGATACCAATAAAAAGCATCTTTAGGATCTTTACGCATTTTACCTAAATAAACTTGAGCGATAGGATAATTATCTTTCGATGCTTTTGAAAATAACTCAAATGCTTTACCCTTATCTCTCTTTTCAATAATTGCATTGAAGTAAAGAAACCCCTGAAAGAAAACATATTTAGATGATGTTTGATTTTTGATATTTTCAACTTGTAAAGACTTATTAATATTTTGAATACTTTGATTAATAATTCGTTTCACTTCTTTAAAACTACAACTTTTCTCATCATGCAATTCGATTATATAGTCGATCAACTTATCAATTCTTTCAACGTTATCGGTTAAATCAGCTAAATTAAGTACTAAATTATTTTGTGTAAAATCATTCGTGTTTGAACCAGAGTCATCGAAATCTATAACTAAATCAAAATCATTCTCCATCATGTTATCAAAGTCTTCATTTGATTGTCCCTTTTCAATTCCGTTTTTAATAAATTTGGTAGAATATGATGTTTTTTCGTTATTTTCTCGATATATTATTGATTTAAGATCTAAAACAACTCGTTGAATAGATGGCCTTTTATTAGGATCATCTGCCCAACACGCTAGAAAAAAAATATATATAATTTCATGTTATATGAATTATCTCATCTCATCGTTGATTGATACGTAAAATTTATTACCTGTATATATATCACTATATTCAACAGGCGTACCATCAATAATTTCTTCTCTTTTTCCATTTATTATACCCATGGTTAAACTTATATCGTATTTTGTACCTTCATCATAAAAAGGTCTACATCCGCTTGATAATTGCCAGAAAAGAACTCCTATACTATAAATATCTGATTTGAAATTTATTTTATAGAGTTGTTGACTTCCGTGTTTGATATTGCATATATTATTCAAATATTTTGGATCTATATAAGGTATTATACCAAATACATCATGGTCAGAATAATATGATGCTTCAGTCGCTTTCTTAGATAGACCAAAATCTGCTACTTTAATATCGCCTTTATGTATTAGCACATTGTAAGCATGCTAAATATGCATTAAATATTAATTAATAATAATTGTATTAATTTAAAAAGTAGGAATAAAATAAATTAACAAAAAAAAACTTTAATACATACCAGATCACAATGGATTATACCTTTATTATGAATACATCCCATAGCACTCGCAAGTTGTAACGCTAAACGATATTTATCATTCCACTCAAGTTTAGTGAAATTCTCTTTCAAGTAAGAATACAATGATCCACCATCCGTATACTCTAAAACTAACGAATACTGATTGTCTAATTTTGAAATTCCATAAATTCGTAAAATATTTATATGAAAATCAACTTCTTTCTGCATTTTGAGCTGGTGGTCGGTATGCATTTTGATGAATAAGATTTTTATGAAATTAATAATTATACAAAATATGTGAAATTTTAAAATATCTCATTTAAAATACCTCATTAATAATTTTTTTAACATCCAATCCAGGTGTTTTCACGACTAAAAGGGTATCATTGTTATTCCAATTTGCCTTAAATATTTTTCCAACCGAACTAACGCTATTTTCGAATTCTTGTTTATTTGTAAACTCGTTATAATTAAAATATATGATATAATTATTCTCAACTGCTTTTTCTATCCAATCAGCATAATTGAAGTCATTAGTTTGCCTTTCGGCTATTGACATTTTTTAGTAAGAGAAAAAAAAAAAAAATTTTATTTGATGTCAAAAAAAGTTTATTTAGTAATTTGTAATGGGTTCAAGTTTTGTACTACATATTTAAATCATATTGCATTGTAAGACCAAAACAAATATGTAATGATAGACATGTGGCGCAACCGGCGCATGTATTTCTGAGCAAATAGAATAATAGTCTAGAGTAAAAACGCAATACAACAGATTTTTAAAAATATTTTAAATGAAAAAAAAAAGAGAGAGAAATATTTTCAGAAGAAACAAATTACATAAATGTAATAATAAAGCACTGCAACTCATTATTTTATTGCCGCGGGTTTATATTCAAGTCTTCGAATCACATTTTAACATAACCAAAGATTTTGCCTCTATATAACGCAAGAATTTATGTTGTGTTTTTTTACTCATTAAATAAATTTATATATAGATATCTTCATATTGATTAATAATTATTTATTAATTGTTAAGTATAATATTTAAGATGATGAAATGAAAAAAAAAAATACTAGGATAATTAATAATATTTAATGACTTTTTTTTTTAAAAAAAATCAATAATAAATAAAATTTCTATTTGATGGCTTTTTTCGAACTAAATTCATTTGATTAGAGATTATAAATTATAAATTAGTTTATTATATAAGTTCCAGTCTTTTTTGTGCATCTCTATTTCCTCTTTTAGCAGCATCGTTATACAATTTAACCGCCTTTTCTTTATCAATATTAGTTCCAATTCCATTCTCATAACAGTATCCCAGCATATATATTCCATTTAAATATCCTTTTTCAACTGATTTTTTATAATGCTCAAATGCTTTAACTTCATTTTTTTCAACACCATTTCCATAATGATAACATTTACCTAAATAATAATACGCGGCTTCATAGCCATTTTCTGTTGCCTTTTTGTACCAATAAATTGCTTTTTCTAAATCTTGATCAATTCCTTTGCCTTTTTCATACAAATATCCTAGACTACATTGCGCATTACCATACTCTTGTTTAGCTGATTTTTCATACCAATTAATTGCCTTTTTTATATCTTTCTGCGTTCCCATACCATTTTCATAAAAATATCCTAAATTTAATTGTGCGAACTTATTTCCATTCTTTGCTGCCTTTTCGTACCAATACAATGATAATTCTATATTCTGATCAATTCCTTCTCCTCTTTCATATAAATATCCCAGATTATATTGTGCTATACTATATCCTTGTTCAGCTGATTTTTTATACCATTCAATTGTTCTTTTTATATTCTTTTTCGTTCCCTTATCATTTTGATAAATTGTACCTAAATGAAGTTGTGCAAATTTATTTCCTTTTTTTGCCGCCTTTTCAATCAAATAAGATGCTTCTTCTAAATTTTTTTCAGTGCCTCTACCTTTCATATATAAATTCGCTAAAGCATATAATGCATTATTATCTCCTTGTTTAGCTGATTTTTCATACCATTCAAATGATTTACCGTAATCTTTTTCAATTCCTGTACCGTAATAATAATATTTGCCTAAGTAAAATTGTGCAACTTTACTTCCGTTTTTTGCTGCCTTTTCAAACCAGTGAAATGATTTTTTTGATTCTTTTTTCTTTCTTTTATATAGAAAACCAAGACAAAGTTGAGCGCTATCATATTCCTGTATGGCTGATTTTTCATACCACTCAATTGCTTTTTCTTCATCAACTTGTGTTCCTATACCATTATCATAAAAATATCCTAAACTTAATTGTGCAAATTTGTTTCCATTTTTTACTGCTTTTTCATAGCATTCAAATGCTTTAAAACCATCTTTTTCAATACCTTTTCCCTCCTCATAACATTTACCCAAATAAAATTGTGCATGTTTATTTCCATTTTCTGCCGATTTTTGATACCAGTAAAAAGCTTTTTTAGGATCTTTATACAATTTACCTAAATAAAATTGAGCAATGGGATAATTACTCTTTGATGCTTTTGAAAACAATCCAAATGCTTTATCTTCATCTTTCTTTACAATAATTCCATTATAATAAAGAAAACCATGAAAGAAAATATATTTAGATGACGTTTGATTTCTAATAAGCCAATCGGAAATTTTAATTTGTAAAGATTTATTTATATCTTGAATATTTTGACTGATGATTTCTTTTATCTCAGTAGGATCATAACCCAATTCATCATGCAATCTAATTAAATGGTCGATTAGTTTGTCAACAATCTTTTCAACATTATTTGTTAAATCAGATAAATTAAGTAATAAATTTTTTTTCATAAGGTCACTCGTGTTTAAACTGAAATCATCAATCACAATATTTGGGATGTTGTCATGTATAGACAAGTCATAATCATCAAACATATATTCAAAATCATTATCTAATGCCTCATTCTTAATTTCGTTTGTAATAGATTTGATAGAATGATCAATAATTGACCTAAGACATGAAACTACTATTTGAATAGATGGCCTTTCATCAGGATCATCCGACCAACACGCTAAAAAAGAGTATTTTACATCATTAATTATTAAAATTAATCTCACACACCGTGATAAGTAAAATTTATTACCTGTATATATATCGCTATATTCAACAGGCGTGCCTTTAATAATTTCTTCTCTTTTACCATTTACTATATCCATGGCTAAACTTATGTTGTATTGTGTATCTTTATCATAAAAAGGTCTACGTCCGCTTGACAATAGCCAGAAAAGAACTCCAATACTGTAAATATCTGATTTGAAATTCATTTTGCAGAGTTGACTTTCACATTTCATTGTATATACATTATTCAGAATTTTTGGATCTAAATAAGGCAGGAAGTCTGGTACTTTGTTAGAATAATTTGATGCTTTGTTCGCTCTTTTAGACAAGCTAAAATCGGCAACTTTTATGTTATTTTTATGTATCAGTACATTCTCTTCGTGCTAAGATATAAAGAATAATAATAATTAATTTATATAAAACAAAAATAAATGTTTAATAGTTAATACGTACCAGATTACAGTGGATAATACCTTTACTATGAATAAAGTCTATAGCACTTGCGAGTTGTGACGCTAAACAATATTTATCATCCCATTCAAGTTTAGTGAAATTCCCCTTCAAGTAAAAATACAATGACCCACCATCCGCGTACTCCAATACTAACGAATACTGATTATCCAATTTTGAAACTCCATAAATTCGTAAAATATTTAAATGAAAATCGACTTCTTTCTGCAATTTGAGCTTTTATACATTTTGATAAACGTAAAAATATTAAAAATATTGAAATATGCGTAATTACATTATATAAAATATTAAATACCTCATTTACAATTTTTCTAATATCCAATTCGTACGATGTTTTTACGACTAAATTAGTGTTACTATTCCAGTTTGTTTCAAATATTTTTCCGACCGAGTTATTACTATTATCAACTTCTTTTTTATTTTTAAATTCGGTATGATCATAGTATATAATGAAATTATTTTCGATCGCTTTTTTTATCCAACGAATGTAATTTAAATTACTATTTTGTTTTTCAGTTATCGACATTTTGTAATAAGAAAAGTTTTATGTGTTCCTTTAGCGCAAATGGTTTCTTATATAAATTCGTCTGTGCCACCGATTTTTGTTTTTGTTGTTAATCCTTTTGTAAGACTATAATAAATTGTTATTGTTATTAATTCCTATGCCATATTAGGTTAGGCAATTTATACCGAATATGGTCAGATCGTTACCAAATTTATGCAGGGCCGATGATTTTTTGCGGTAAATTCTGTGTGACAAACCAAAATTTTGTGATTTGGCCAGAATTATGCAAAGTCAGCCAACATTACCATTCGCAAATTCTGGCAAAATTTAATGAAAAATTACGAACTGGCCCGAATTTAGGGGGTATGCACTTGCACGTAACTCCGGCCAGTTATAGGCTTATAGCCCTATTATGTGAAATTCTGTGACACAGAGAAATCATCTGATGGTATGACATGTGACGTAATAAGAGTAATAAGCGCTCATCACCTTTTTTTTTACTCCTGAATTTTTACGGCTGAAAGATCATCTCATCAATTTCATCACAAAGAAGCCGAACCTTTTAATTGTTTGTGAAATACTAAAGCTCGAAAACTGATTATGTTCAATATTATAATATTATCTAACATCATCAAACTTGGTTCTTTCGACAAGTCAGTTTTAAATACCATCATATTACAAGATTATTGGACAGCGACTGAAGCTACTGACTTTACATCTATTGAAAAAGAAGTGCTATTATCCCTTTATAGAAATGAAAATTTATATATTGAAGGATATGAATTATGGGATCATTAATTCGTCGGGTAAAGCTCAAAAAAACTGGACATCAAATGATTTTAATATATAAAGAAAACTTTGGATGACTTTTTACCTCGTATTAAATTTTATGACATCTCACCTGAAGACTTTTTCTAGGATCATCAGACCAAACACCGTAAAGAATAACCTGAAGTGGTAGAGTAATACTAGATATATGGTGTAGAAATGTCCGTATCAGCAGATAATTTTTTTCTTGTAGGACTTTTTTGAGGAATATTTCCCTTCCTTCGGTTGTTGTTTTTCCTTAAGTTAGTGTTTGCTATTGTCGGACCTTCGGGTCAGGTATTTAGTTTACCTAGCTCCTAGAGCGTGACAGATATTATTTTCGGGACGTTATCGAATATTTTTACTTTATCATATAGATTATTGCACTATTCCTAGATTTAGTCTTTGAATCCTCCTTTAAATTTTAAATTATTTTATTTTATTTTTATTTTTATTTTTACTTTTATTTTTATTTTATTTATTTATTTATTTTTTGACTAAACACGACTATTGCAAATAGTACAGTGTCAGAAGGTACAACATATTCACTTTCATCCAAGATTTACTTGTCTACTGCTTACAAAAGCTACAGAAGTACCAAAATAAAAATACTATAATGTTTCATGGACCAAGTCACATCATATCTAGCACTCACTTGGAACGATGTTAAATCAACACTACCTTAAAGATCGCTCATCCTGAAGAACATGAAACACTGTCCATTTTAAGCGAAATTCTTTAACCCACTAAAACAACTATCATATACCCACTCAATAAATCCTACATGAAGTTTCAAACCAGTCAATCAATCGTTCGGGTGAGTTGCTGTTACAAATTCAATTACAACATTAAACCGATAACAACACTTCACACCGTTCAAACGAACGCATACTATTATCCCTTGCCCAGGACGCAGCCTACTGTACATACACCATACTACAACATAGGCCTTCAGTCAGATCTAATCAAAAGCTAGATTCCGTAAAATTTATAATTCTAGCTTCCCCAATATTAACACCTTTTCTCATCCTTAGAATACTAGCTTATAATATCTATATACCAACTAACCGCCCATACTTTATTAATATATGTTACCTCCCACATCACAGTTTCACTAACCAGATATGGTATTATTTACAACAAACCCTTCTACTGGTTCAGCCACGTCCATATCAACCTAAACTACAAGAGTGATATCTACAAAGAGTTAATGTACAGGTTTTATAAACGCCGCACTATTCCTATATTTTAGTAGCTTTATAGTTGGTAAAAATACGCAGGAAATAAAAAAAAACTATTATCTTCAATTGTTTGAGTACTGTTCATATTTCGTTCCGTTCTCATGGTGATTATAGAAACCGTTTCTTTCAAAATTCAGGATAACTACTGTCCCTTCGTCTCCAATGGTTTTTACTAGCACTACTGTAATAAGTCGTTTCTTTCTGATCCTATATGTGAAACCTATTTTTTTACATATAAATTTCACGTTATTATTTGGAAGCCAACCGTGACCCAGGGTCACAGTCTCGTTGGTGAAAGAATACGTGACGTTGCACCACAATCATAGCACAAGCCATGTGAATTTATATTTGTCGCAAAAAAGAACATAAACTTGTTTCTCTTTCTCTTTCATTGAATCCATACAAATCTAAGTCCACGTATGTCTGAGAGGTTCTTTTCAAATCTGAGAGAAGAGGGATATCTTAGATTGTTTCAGGTGGTGCTACCAAGATTAAACGACTCAGAAATTCGAATTATAAATGTCCACCAAGTTATTATACATGTGAAGAAAAATTGGATCCAAGAATCACTTTGTCATCGGGAGAAAACGGACCCGTATGTAGTACTTATGTAGTGACTAGTATTATATTATACGTTCTATCCACATTTCTTAAATTTCTACGACTAACGATTATCATAAGCATTCGAATAAAAATATATTTCACAAGAAGTCTAGGATCTCACAAAATAGAAGACCGGATTGAGGCAATGTGTTTAGAACACAGTAAAGAAAAACACTCGTTTAGTAATGATCTAAACTTTTTCCCGTTCAAAAGAAATATTTTACTTGTTAGCAATTAGATTTAGACCACATCCGACTAATTTCCTGCCTTCCAGAAGAAGCAGATATCCAGATTTCTGAAATGTTATTCACAACAATTGGTCAGCGAAGCACGTGTGATTCCGCAGTAAATTGAGTCATGTGTATAATGACGTTGTATTACTTGGATATTCTAAATTATTCGGTATAAATACCAAAATTTTAATTGGATGATAATAATCGTAACTTAAAAGCTTATAACTCTTATCCTGAATGAACTTGTTACAAGAAAGTAGTTTATTTTATTTATTATCTCTTAAACGGTAATTAAAAAATCATTAAACACCGAAATGAGATGTAGGAATGATCCTATGTAGGCATTTGTAATTTTCCCATTTTAGTTTTTTCAAATTCGCAGCTAAATTTTCCGTCAAAGGATGAGTATTTTATAGTAGCTGAATTCGAGGTGATATTGGGTAGTACATGGGTAGTGCATATCGTACGTAGAGTTGACAAATATAAGAAACCTATCATCATGTCAAACTCTGACTGGTTGAAACTTGAGAGAGTAGAAAAATCCAAGCTTATACGAGAAACAACGTTAAAGTATTAGCTCACTTATTGCATAATTCTACGAATTATTTTTTTTTTTCCTAGTTACACTACAATCGATTCTGATGGAAAGTTGTGTTGATTAAATTCTCGAAACAAAAAATGGTTGAAACCAGGATTGTGATTTTGTACAACTCCAAACTTGTACGAAGAGTGAAAAAGAGAGTTTTAATCACTCTACCATTTCATTTATTGTACGAATCACAGCCCGGATGAAACCTTATTAATCTAAGTATATTATTATGATTTAGATCAGTACGAAATGCTGTTCAACAAAAAATAGAAAGATATTATGCGAGAGTATATTTTTTAATGGCAATATAATGACAATAATCATATTATGGATTATATAATTTCTTCATGATCTTCATCCGCAATGATGTATCTATCGAAATAAAATTTATGCCATTATATTCGATATGATCTTCCTCCCAACGCCAATCGCAAGACCCACAAGGGCACCCATCATTGTTCCCAGTCCTGGCCCAACAACTGTTCCGATTACCGCTCCAACCATAACACTATCAATAATTCCTGGTTCTTCTTCCTTCCTTAGCTCTTCGTTCCTTCGCTCTTCTCTCCTTCGTTCTTCTCTCTTTCGCTCTTCTTCTCTCCTTTGTTCTTCTCTCTTTCTCTCTTCCTCCCTCCTTTGTTCTCCTCTCTTTCGCTCTTCTTCCCTCCTTTGTTCTTCTCTCTTTCGCTCTTCTTCTCTCCTTTGTTCTTCTCTCTTTCGCTTGTACTCTAGTTCTATAAGTATCTTTTGCGCTTCTTGGAACTTTTCTTGCTGAACTCTTACTGCATCCGCTTTTAGTTTATTCTCATATTCTTCATTTTTTCTTCTTTCTTCTTCTTCCGCTTTTTTTTTTAGACGCTCCTGTTCTTTCCGGTTCTCTTCAAATTGTCTAGTGGTATATAGAACTTGTATATGGGTAATTAATTCCTTGATCTCCATTAATCGTTTTTCATTTGTTTCTCTTTCAGCTTCAAAAAAATATGGATGCATCGGAGAAACACACCAACGATACCCAATTTGCTTAATAAAAGAACGAAGAATTTCGATTTTATTCCAATCTATTTGTTTATCCTTAACCCGTTCCGGATCTGCTTTGGAAAAAACAACGATGAAATTATTTGTCGCATCTTTTCCAAGAAAATTTCTTATGGTGCTCAAAGTATTCTTTTCTTCATCAGTAATCCTTCCTGCTTCTACAAAGTTCATTAAAGTCAAATGCTAATAAAATATACAATCAAATAAGTAACAGTTATTTACATACCTAAAACCAAAAGAATTGCCCTGACCCCACCAGCGCATTTACGAATGAATTCTGTTATTTCTACATTTTCACGATTGTCAAATATTCCGGGTGTGTCAACAAGGTCATATTTTTTGCCTTTAATTGTCAATGTTGTTACTTCACATTTTTTCGTTTCCGATTCCTATATTTTCATAACTTTCTTCATGAGTACTATACAATAAAATGTAACTAAAATATGAAACATAGATATTACCGTACTGCCTGAAGCTGTAAAAGGTTTATTATCCCGACTACCGAGAAGCTGATTACCAAGTGTGCTTTTCCCAGTACCTACAATAAATAACTCTGCCGTGCGTTAGTTAATATTTACAGTAACGAAAGACGAAAAAGTAAAAACTTGCCGGTTTTTCCTAGCAAGAGGACAACTTCGTTTTGAACAGTCATTTAGAACAAGTTTTTAGAACAAGTTAACAAAAATTGTTCCAAATGAAACTTTTATTATATGCTGTTATATCGTGTGATTGTTATGTTACATTGCATTGAACCAATGATGTACATTTTTACTCGTGATAATTGTCCGAAGCCGTAAGCGGATTCTTGTTTGCCCGAACGCGTTTAAATACCAATCATATTCTAGAATATTGTGTGACAATAAATATGTTGTGAAATTTTGCTTGCATCACGCGTGTTGAAAAGTTTTATATACTGTTTTAGCCATACATTAATGTACCTTTTTTTTTGTACAAAAAAAAAAGATATTCGAAGATAGAACATCGAACAGTTTCACAGTCGCGCCATCATAGCCTTTTACAAAAGGTAACCTATTGCAAAAGGCTATGGGTTATATCACCCATGGGTGATCTATCATTTTGGCACTTATTACCAATCATAGACCTTTTATGTTCAACTAAAATAAAGATTATCTAATGCCAATAAAAAAAAAAAAATACTATAAAATTTTTTGTGCTCATCAATGAGCGCTAATGCTAATAAAAAAAATAACACTAGTTAAATTTATTTAACATCCTTTTACTCTCGCGTAATTTTGTATTCCTCTTACTCCCTTACATTAAAATTTTTACTCAATTACGCTAAAATTTCATCCCTTTTATTTTAATTTCATGTTCTCTTTTACCTTTGTCCATTAAAATTTCGTCCTTTTTTACCTAAATCTTAGTTCTTCACGTTGTTTTCTACTTATTTACATTAAATTTTTTGATTTCTACTCCATTAAAATTTATCATTCCTGTACTTTTTACATTAAAAATTCCATTTACCCATTTTCTTACATTTTCTAATACTGAAATTTTTAAAAATTATAATAATTTAGTTGTATTTTTTGGCAAGTAAATAAGGTTATAACAAAAAATTTATTATGTATTAAAGTGTTTCTGTTAATATTTGCGTTTATAAAGTACTGACGTGCAGATGATCGTTAAATTGTATGATTTGTATCACGTACCTCATCTGACGATTTTAATTTGAAGTGCGTGATGTGGCAAGAATCGATCTGAGGCACAAAATGACTGAGAAAATAAAGCCAAGATATTGATTAATAATATAAAAAAAAAAAATTAAAAATGAACACGTAAAAGAATTTATATATATGGAAAAATTTTGCACACAAATTACTGGAATTAGGAACAAAATTAAGAATTTAATATTGTTATGGAAACGAAAAAATTTATTAACGAGTACATAATGTACATATATTGATACAAAATGTCGGATAAAATTTTTTTTTCTTAATGTTTATATAAATTTTATATGTATAAAAAAACCTGATTGATAAAACAAGAACGAGAAAATTAAAAATAAAAAGTGGAATTTTTGAAAGAAACATATTCTGTATATGTATTGATTGATAAAATAAACAGGTGAAACTTTTTTTTTGATTAATAATTGAATATGAATAAGTTTTTGTACATTTTTATAACAAAGACGAATATAATATCGGGTTTCGGGAGAAACGATTGAGGAAATAAAAATTTAGAAAAAAGAACATTGATTAATAATAAAAGAAATGGCTTAAAATTTTTAATAAACGTATATTATATATATTGAAGCAATTTTTTTAATAATGTCTCAAAACCTTTATAAATCATCGTAAGCGGAGCTACTGGTAAATACTCTAAATATGTATATTAAGAAACTCAACGTTGTACTCACAATATAGGTGCCCGTTTCTAATAATTAATAAAAAAAAAATGTTATCGCGTCGGATATTTTTTTTTTTAGGATTTTTACAAGATTTAAATTTTGGTTTCATATTTCACAATTACGATACATTTTTTTTTGTTATTTTTGTATGTAACCGACGATGAGAATCCAGCCCGTAATATATAGACTACTCAACCCCCTAATTTAAAACTGTGAAAAATGATCTGCTAAAATGACGAAAAATCAATTATTTAAAAGATCTTTATGGTTAGTATTACCATAATTTGTTGTTGATAATTAATTAATTCGATCATTAATAATACAAAATACAATGTTCTAATAATTAATTTAATACGTATATATAACTAATTTTATTCTAAAAAAGGTAAAATATAAAATTTTTCAATTTTCAACAATATCCCAAAAGCCGTCAACGTCAATTGTATATCACGTGAAATTAATGTTTCCAAATCAGAGCTTTACAAAATTCGAGCATTAACTCGTTAGAGAAGAAGCTTTAAGTGGTCTGGTATTGCTTGAATTGTTACTGATTTCCTGAACCCAGTAAGTATAATACTGTATGTACGTATACAGCTATCAATTTTACTGGTAAAAATCACGTAAAAACAATACATCAGGAAATTTGGAAATTCCAATTTTGCGTATCTCAGTTTCTACAGCAAAATACTGGAATTTTCCTACCTCTTATTTCGAATAAAAAATGGAGAGATTGAATTTGTTATTCCTATATTTCTAAAAAAATGATTAGATTCTTTTGGTCGTTGTCGGTAAAAAAGTTCCTATTGCTAGTGAGAATGTTACTATTAAACACATTAATGTTGTATTGACCAAAGGTAAAATATAAATATTTTTATAAATATTTTTTATAATGACTTTTCTTAATCTAGTTATCGGAAGAACTCATAAATTAAGAACTATATAAAGGATTTGGAGCTTTAGGAGAAAATAATGAACTTCCAATATATTACTATTGCTAAGAGACTGTATCCAAACATTAAAACCTTCAGAGCAATATTATACTTGGAACTTAAGATTAAATGTAAAATTTGCTGCGCTATTTTGCAAGGACCAATAGAATTGTCCACTTATACGTAAGAAAGGTGTAATATGTTACACCAATTATGTTTGACGTAATGATATAATGCCCGATGTTGATTCTAACTTAAATTGGAACAATTCGTGCATTATGGTGATGTCAATGGGAAATTTTTTAAGCCGTACTATTATAATATCTGGATCTTTAAATTAAGGGTTCTTTTTGTTCTTTACTTTATAAATATTAATATGATTTTTCTAAATAAGTAATTGAATTCGTAATGTAATACCAAGAAAAATAGTATTTGGTTAATTTGGTTAAGTTCTGAGATTTCTAAGGTCAAGAAAGAATGTAAAATATATTAACGTTTTTCAATTGATCAATTGCTAACTTGTTAACACCTTCCAAAAAATTAGGTTCTCAGGGTGGATCCGTTGTTAATGCACTTCTTGCTACAGGACTTTACAAAATTCGAGCATTAACTCGTAACCCAAATTCCGATAAAGCAAAAGCGTTAAAAGCTAAAGGAGTTGATGAAGTAGTTAAATGTGATCTCTCTAACAAGGAGGATATTAAGAATGCTTTAAGCGGTGCTGATATTGCTTGGATTGTTACTGGGATCCAGTAAGTAATAACTTTGTGTACTATAATTAATTACGCAAATCTTAAATCATTTTCATTAATTCAATTTTATTTTAATAATTTTACGTAAATTTAGTTAATCATTGGTGTAAACCCTGGTGAAGAAGAAAGACAAGGTAAATTGATTGCCGATGCCGCTAAAGAAGTAGGATTTAACTGGTTAATCTACAGGTAAATTTAATGTATAAGATTCTACACGCACTTTTTTATTTTCCATATCGAAATTTACACATAAATATTATTACATAGTTTTCTTCCTGATTCTACTACTGAATCTGACGGAAAATATCCCGCTATTATTAATTTATCTGGTAAAAATCGTGTGGAACAATACATAAGATCATTAGGAATTCCAAATACAACATTTTGTCTATCTCAGTTATTACTACCAAAACTTAGGAATTTCCGCACCATTTGTCGATAAGGGTAATGAAGTTGAAGTTTGTTTTCCCTATTTAACAGAGAATGATGCAATTCATGATCGATGTCGAGAGTGATACAGGTGTACGTGTTTATTTATAATTTTTATAATGATTTTTTTAAAAAAATTCTGGATTAAAAAAAATTTTTTTTCTCTTAGCCAATTGTTGCAAAAATTATTGAGGAGGGGCCAGCTAAATGGAACGGTAAAAAAGTTCCTGTTGCTGCTGAGTCTGTTGGTTTGAAACATTTGGCTGATGTATTAACCAAAGGTAAATACAAATTATTATATAATACTTAAATTTTATTTAAAAAAAATTAGTAAACTCAATTACTTTTATTCTTAATCTAGTTACTGGAAAAACTCATAAAATAAGAACTTTGAACGATGACGACATAAAAGAATTTTCATTCATTGATACTGATGAATTAAAACAAATGGTAAATAAAAATTATAAATATATAATCAATTTTTTCTCATTCTTTTATTAATAAAAAATATTTTTTTTTATTAGCATAAATGGTTTATAGATTACGGACTTTTTGGAAAGGATAATGAACTTAAAGATATTTCTATTGCCAAGAAATTACACCCAAAAATTAAATCCTTTGAGCAATATGCAATTGAAACTTACCCAAAGGCTTAATTGTCACTTTATATCTCTTGTATTATATTATCTCTTGTGTTATTATTTTTTTTTCGAAATCTAAATAAAATTTTTCATTTTCAATGATCTATATATTATAAATTAAACATTTTTTCGTTGACATCTCCATCTCGCTTGAAATTCAAACAGGTTTCATCTAAATGTTTACAACTTTTATTTATCGATAACTATGAGAGTTGTTTTTTTTTATGTTTTTATATAATCGTACCAGAGTCCCATCAATAATCCAAATTTTTATGAGTCAGAGTGCTGTTAAACAATAAAACCATTAAGCAAACACTATCCAATAATCAATAACTAGTAAATAAGGGATAAGGAAATTACCAATCATGAAACATTATTAACGACATACAGTATTTCGCTGCTCAGAATTCCTAAAAATGCTGTAATAATTTATGAAAAATACACCTTGATCAAAAGGAATTTTACAGAATCAGGAAATTTTTTTTAGGAAAAATACATGATTATTTCAAAATTAGTATCTTTGAATAAATTAAAGTGAGATTTTAACGCTAAATATTGTCAGGATTTCCGATATACGCAGTAAACTCCAGTTTCAATCAAAGATATTACTGTGAAAAAGATTTTGTGAGATACAATTGTAGTTCGCTCATTCAAGATTCTAATTGAATATATAATAAATGAATGAATAATAATTTGAGTATACAAAGTATATTCAGTTGAAATAATAATTAAAATAATTAATTACATAGTCTAAATTATAAAATAACGACATTTTAAAAGTATTTTTCGCGAAATTAAAGTAACACCGAATACCTGTACGAATAGCTAAAATTTCTAGTAAATATATATTTGTGTTTTTGTATTGTACAGTCAAATACATGGAAAAGATTTCAAGAGTTGAAACGCACAACTAATTACCAAAGACTAAGTGATTCTTACGATTATATATTCATAAAGTATGCTGAACGATATCCTTTAATAAAATAAATTATTGGTTCGACGGGACCGTTCATAAATTTTCAATAACAAAATTCCGTTACTATCCAATAGCCTTAACTTGAAATATTTTAATTTCATGATTAGGTGTTAATTTAAAAAAGTTCATTACATTTAATACTTGCATATTACTATAATATAATGTCCACTCCAAAACATCATCGCTTTTATCATCATTACCTATATTTATATACATTCTCTATATATTTCGGAGCCCTGCATCAATTAAGTTGAAAGAAAAAGAAGTTTAAGAAGTTTATTGAGAGGCGACAAGCTGTGTGAAGATGTGCTTGGTGTATAATAATCTGAGGGTGTTATCGTATTATTGATTAGCCGTTCCACTATTTATTTGCTTTGTACTCTGAACAAGGGCATTTTAGTTGTAGACTGAGTAGTAGGACGTAGTTAGTTGCAACAAACCGTGTAAGCAGTTTATATAGCGGAACCTATCAACATCCCAATTTATGTCAGGTAATGTTAGATATATCTTTAGATATACAAGTAGTAAAAGAAAAATACGGTCAGGGAGATACGGCCTTCGATTCTTTTCTTTTTTGGTGTGAAAAAGAGCAGGTCTTCGTATAACTTCCGAGCAGGAAATTGGGAAAGTAGTACATTCTTTCTGAGCGCCTTGATTCTGATCTTAATATATTTTGGATAGCTGCAAGTTTTTTATAGACGTAAATAAATTATCATTTTCACATGTACTATCATCTTACGTTTCTCATTGTAATCATTCCAGTTTTCTACTGAAGTAATATAAAGATTATTTATTATGAACGCTTGCAGAAAACAGTTATTTTTGAAAGATATGATTCCGCAATTTTTTTGGTCTGCTTTTTTATAAAATAACTCGTTATCTATCTATCACCATTTCTCACAAAATTTCAATCCTGTGTATGTGCAAATCTTGAATCACATAACGAAAACTCTGCCACTATTAAACGTGACATAATTCGCTTTTAAAATACTTGCTACGCCAAGATGACAATTTTTTCATTTAATAATTAAATTTCATAATTTAAAATTAATAATTACAGTAATAGACATAATCGTCTTAATAATTACATTATATTTATTTTGTTTAAAAGTATGATAATATTTAATATGATGAAATATAAAAAAAATAATATATTATACAAAATATTTAATAATTTTAAAATAATTAAATAATAGAAATGATGTACAGATGTTTGTCGGTTTTCGAACTATTATAAAAAATGATTATACCGATTATAGAATATAAATTATGAATTACTCAGTTCTAGTAGTCTTTTTTGTGCATCTTTATTTCCTCTTTTGGCAGCAATTTTATACCATTCTACCGCCTTTTCTTTATCAATTTCGGTTCCAATTCCATTCTCACAACAGTATCCAAGTATATATATTCCATTTAAATATCCTTTTTCAGCTGATTTTTTATAGTGATCAAACGCCTTAACTTCATTTTTTTCAATACCAATTCCATCTTGATAACATTTACCCAAACAATAATACGCGGCGACATGTCCATTTTCTGCCGCTTTTTTGTACCAATAAATAGCTTCTTTTAAATCTTGATCAATTCCTTTGCCATTTTCGTATTTATATCCTAGACTACATTGTGCGTTACCGTATTCTTGTTTGGCTGATTTTTCATACCATTCAATTGCCTTTTTCATATATTTTTGTGTTCCTATAATATTTTCATAAATATACCCTAAATTATATTGTGCAAATTTATTTCCATTCATTGCTGCTTTTTCGTACCAGTATAATGATTTTTCTAAATCCCGATCAATTCCTTTGCCATTTTCGTATAAATATCCCAGACTACATTGTGCGTTGCCATATTCTTGTTCAGCTGATTTTTCATACCATTTAATTGCCTTTTTCATATCTCTTTGTATTCCTATACCATTTTCATAAATATACCCTAAATTATATTGTGCGAATTTATTTCCATTCATTGCTGCTTTATCGTACCAGTATAATGATTTTTCTAAATCTTGGTCAATTTCTTCTCCTTTTTCATATAAATATCCCAGTCTACATTGTGCGTTGCCATATTCTTGTTCAGCTGATTTTTCATACCATTTAATCGCTTTTTTCATATCTTTTTGTGTTCCTATACTATTTTCATAAATATACCCTAAATTATATTGTGCAAATTTATTTCCATTCATTGCTGCTTTTTCGTACCAGTATAATGATTTTTCTAAATCTTGGTCAATTTCTTCCCCTTTTCCGTATAAATGCCCTAGACTACATTGTGCGTTACCATACTCTTGTTTAGCTGATTTTTCATACCATTCAATTGCCTTTTTCATATCTTTTTGCGTTCCTCTACCATTTTCATAAAAATATCCTAAATTTAATTGCGCGAATCTATTTCCATTCTTTGCTGCTTTTTTGTACCAATAAAATGATTTTTCTAAATCTTGCTTAATTCCTTTTTCTACTTCATATAAATGTCCCAGAATATATTGTGCTGAACTATGTCCTTGCTTAGCTGATTTTTCATAACATTCAATCGATTTAACATAATCTTTTTCAATTCCTCTACCAAAATAATAATGAATTCCTAAATAAAATTGAGCCAATTTATTTTCTCGTATGGCAGGTTTTGTATACCATTCAAATGATTTATCATAATCTTTTCCAACACCTGTACCATAAAAATAATATCTACCTACATTTAGTTGTGCATATTTATTTCCATTTATTGCTGCTTTCTCATAACATTCAAATGCTTTAAAATAATCTTTTTCAACACCTCTTCCATTTTCATAACATGTGCCTAAATAAAATTGTGCAAGCTTATTTCCATTTTCTGCCGATTTTTGATACCAATAAAAAGAATCTTTAGGATTTTTACACATTTTACCTAGATAAACTTGAACGATAGGACAATTATCTTTTGATGCTTTTGAAAATAACTCAAATGCTTTACTATTATCTCTCTTTACAATAATTTCATTAAAGTAAAGAAAACCATGAAAGAAAATATATCTAGATGATGTTTGATTTTTAATAAGCCTGTCAAAAATCTTGTCCAGTAAAGGTCGGTTGATATTTTTAATATTTTGATCAATGGCTTGTTTTGTCTCCATAAAACTATAACCCATCTCATCATGCATTCTCATTAAATGGTCGATTAATTGATCAATTATTCTTTCAACATTATCAGTTAAATCAGTTAAATTAAGTACTAAATTATTTTGTATAAAATCATTCGTGTTTAAATCAACGTCATCATCTATCTTGGAATTTGGGAAATCATCGTCTATAAATAAATCAGAATGATCATTATCCATCACGTAATCAATATCTTTATTTGGCGGTTCTTTTTTGATTTCATTTTTAGTAGTACATTTGGTAGAATATACTGCTTCATTATTTTCTATTGATTTAAGGTCTGAGACAACTTGTTGAATAGATGGCCTTTCATTAGGATCACTTGCCCAACATGCTAGAAAAAAAAATATAATTTTAAATCTTAATTTATTATATAAATTATCTCGATACCATCGTGATGCGTAAAATTTATTACCTGTATATAAATTACTATATTTAATAGGCGTACCTTCAATAAACTTTTCCCTTCTCCCACTTATTATATTCATGGCTAAACGATTATCGTATTGTATACTTTCATCACAAAAAGGTCTACGTCCACTTGATAGTAACCAGAAAAGAACTCCTATACTATAAATATCTGATTTGAAATCCATTATACTGAGTTGGATAGTGCATGTAATATCAAATGCAAAGGCTAAGTGCCTTGGATCTACATAAGGCATTAAACCATATACTTCTTTAGCAGAATAATTTGATGCTTCAATTGCTTTCTTAGATAAGCCAAAATCTGCTACTTTAATAACGCCTTTGTGTACTAACACATTGTGCGCATGCTAAAGATAGATTATTATTATCATTAATTAATATACGCTAGAGTAAAAATAAATAATGCTCAAATATTGTACGTACCAAATCACAATGGATTATTCCTTTATTATGAATACATTCTACAGCACTTGCAAGTTGTAACGCTAAACGATATTTATCATCCCATTCAAGCTTAGTGAAATTCTTTTTTAAGTAAGAATACAATGTCCCATCATCAGCGTACTCTAAAATTAATGAATACTGATTATCTGGTTTTGAAATTCCACAAAATCGTAGGATGTTTGCATGAAAGTCAACTTCTTTCTGAATTCTGAGCTGTTATATCATACATATTAATGAGATAGATATAAATTATTGATTATACGTTATTATACCAAAAATATAATATATACCTCATTTACAATTTCTTTAAGTCCACCTGATTTAACGACCAAAATTGTGTCAGTTTCACTCAAGTTTGCTTTAATTATTCTACTACCGATTTCTTCTTTATTTATGAACTTAGTATGATCAAAATTCGGGATGTAATTATCCTCAACTGCTTTTTCTATCCAACCAATATAATCAAAATCATTTTCCAGCATTTTTGTAAATGAAAAAAAAAATTATTTGGCGCCCAAAAGTTTTCCTTATATACAAAATTCGTGCTACCGATTTTCAATAAATAATAGTCTTGATTATGAACAAGTTAACGTAGTAAAGTCTGTCGATCTTCTGGAGTACAGGGCTGTCATGTTTTCATCCCACGTGACTTGCATAATTTGTCACCCTGGATCACGCCCTCATTTAAAAAATATTTTTTCACATCCCTATTATTTGTTACCGATCACGTGTGAAATTTTACTTAGATAAATGGTGGTTCTCCAACATACAATTGTGATACAATTTTGACTCTAATCTATTTGAAAGAATGAAAAAACAAAAGAAAAGGAATGTATAAAATTAAATCCTAAAGAAAATAATCATAATACCGAGATATTCGAAAAACCGTAAAACGGCGCAGTATCGCAAAATGAAAAATGCAGGTTTTGACATTTTATCGTGTATCTCGACATTCAGTGGTCGTAGAAAGATGCTCTAAAGCTCATTAGATTCGAGTTGATGCAACGATTCGAATGAGCTATTGTGCATCTTTATACGATCGCTGGTTGTCGAGATATTCGACAAAACATAAAATGACACAGTATCGTAACTTGCAATATGTTTTGTTGAATATCTCGGCATCCAGTGATTGGATAAGGATGAAATTAGCGCCATTCGATCCGTCTCAACAAGACGATTCTAATGAGCTATTGTGCATCTCTGTAGCTCGCAATTAAAAAAAAATCCAATCCGGTTTCCGGTTTCTATCCGGATTATCTGATCCGGATTTAAAATCCGGATCAACCAGGATATAATCCGGATTTTTTTTTTGTGTAATCCGGATGACGGTTTTCATCCGGGTCGAAGCACTAACTGTAAGGATACGCTCTGGCCTCTGAGTTAAGTGGGATCAGAAAGATTTTCGTCATTTGTATACGGAATAGAATCTACATATAACCAATATAATTTTACGATAATTGAAACCTTATTTCAAGTTTTTGAGTCGTAGGATGTTATGCATGCATAATACCGGCTCTGAAAAAAATATATGGTCATGTAGAACTCGACATATGAGTGCCTCCCTGGCCTATTTAAGTATGGTACGATCAAGGATCCTGTTTAGAATTTTTTTTTTTTTTTTTCTTAAACTTTATTAATAACATGACGATCGCAGAAACTACGCATCATGTTCTAGACGACGTGCATCTGCTAGTAATAAAGTATCTATCTACTAAAAACAAAACCAAAACATACAAACAAGAACACTACAACTACTCGCAACATCAAAATAAAACAGAAATTTAACACTAACTATTTATACGCCTGATTTAACAATTTTTAACCAAGCATTAGCGCCAATGTTAAACCCCATTAAAATCCCACCCATAGATACTTTATTACTAACTACCCATTTCCCTTACGCATTTCACACTTCTATCTCAAAACAAAACAAAACAAAAAAAACAACGAAAATACAACAATAAAAACTACTCTATTTCTCCCTTTCCCTCAAAACATTCAAACAGTCACCACAGAATTGGCTAGACCCTGCAGTGAAACGTCCATTCTCCCGAAAAGAGCGTTTTCCACCAAAGAACTGGCTAGGCCCCGCAGTGGAGCGTCCATCTTCCCGAAAAGTGCATTCTCTATAGTCACCTTGTCCATTCACAAAGACTTGCATAACGTTAGCTTTTTGTGTTTCTTTGAACAAAACAACTGTTTGTCTACATTTATTCACATTGCTACCGTCCAAGTCAAAACTAAAAAATCTATCTTCTCTCATGTGTCCTGTTTAGAATTGACCACATTTGTATATGAATTATTCTTTTAAAGATTTTAGAATTTTACATAATAAATTGAAAAATTTAATGTGATAATAATTGTTGCTCATGTTGATAAGGATTAATTAAGTTCTGCGGCTTTAATTATCTTACATATTTTTACAGCCTGTTTTCATAACTTGGCATATTTGTAGTGTTCAACCGTTGACAACTCGAAACCTGGCAAATTTTCTAGAATTAGGAGTTAGGATAATCCAGTCAAAAATTAGCTATGCTAATTTTGGCTGAATTGCGCCCTATAAAAATTTTTCTGGGAAAATTCCAATAAATGATCATTTGCTAGTTTCATTCCGATACTATGTGATCAATTTTCTAAAAAAAAATTTTATAGGGGCGCAGTATATAGGATAGGACCGGTTCTGAGCTTCTGAACCGATGTTATTGAGCGGCTGACTGAATTGGATGAACAGGTTCCGGTTCCATAAAAGTTTCATATTACGATATGGCAAGAACTGAGTCAGTCCATCGATCGAACCGAACCGAACCGTTCAACCGCGAACTTTTCCCATCCTTAGCGATCATTTTTCTGACGTTCGGTCATTATCGTTAGTTCGTGCAAATCATGAATCGCATAACGAAGACTCCGTTACTATATAACGTTATACAATTCAATTTTAAAATGCTTTGCCAAGATGACTTTAAGTTGTATTTTTAATATTAAATCAATGGAACACTTCATTTTAATAATTTTATGATATTTACTTTGTTAAGGATAATAATATTAATATGATGAAAATATAGAAAGATTATACAAAATATTTAATAATTTATAAAATAAAAAAAATAATCAAAATAATATAATAATAGAAACGATGTTCAGATTTTTCGAACTGTTATAAAATATGATTAGACTGCTGATTAAAGAATGTAAATTATGAATTAATCATTTTTAATCTTTTTTGTGCATCTCTATTTCCTCTTTTAGCAGCATCTTCATACAATTCAACTGCCTTTTCTTTATCAATTTCGGCTCCAATTCCATTTTCATAACAGTATCCAAGATTATATATTCCATTTAAATAACCTTTTTCAGCTGATTTTTTATAATTCTCAAATGCTTTAACTTCATTTTTTTCAATACCAATTCCATCTTGATAACATTTACCCAAACAATGATACGCGGCGACGTATCCATTTTCTGCTGCTTTTTTATACAAATAAATGGATTTTTCTAAATCTTGATTAATTCCTTTGCCATTTTCGTATAAATATCCTAGACTACATTGTGCACTACCATAATCTTGTTTAGCTGATTTTTCATACCATATAATTGCTTTATTTATATCTTTTTGTATTCCTATACCATTTTCATAAATATATCCTAAATTATATTGTGCGAATTTATTTCCGCTCTTTGCTGCTTTTTCATACCAATATAATGATTTTTTCAAATCTTGGTCAATTTCTTTTCCTTTTCCATATAAATAACCCAAATTACATTGTGCTATACTATATCCTTTTTCAGCAGATCTTTCATACCATTCAATTGCTTTTTTTATATTCTTTTTCGTTCCCTTATCATTTTGATAAATTGCACCTAAATGATGTTGAGCAAATTTATTTCCATTTTCTGCCGCTTTTTCAATCAAATAATGTGCTTTCTCTAAATTTTTTTCAGTGCCTTTACCTTTTAAATATAAATATCCTAAAGCATATAACGCATCAATATATCCTTGCTTAGCTGATTTTTCATACCATTCAAATGATTTTCCATAATCTTTTTTAACTCCTGTACCAAAATAATAATATTTACCTAAATAAAATTGAGCAATTCTATTTCCATTTTTTGTTGCTTTTTCAACCCAATAAAATGCATTTTTAAAATCTTTTTTCGTTCCTTTATATAATATTCCAAGAAAAAGTTGTGCATTACTACATTCTTGTTTTGCTGATTTTTCATACCATTCAATTGCTTTATCTTTATTTCTTTGCGTTCCTTTACCATGATCATAAAAATATCCTAAATTTAATTGAGCAATTTTATTTCCACTTTTTGCTGCTTTCTCATAACATTCAAATGCTTTAAGATCATCTTTTTCATTATTTTCATACCATTTACCTAAATAAAATTGTGCAAGTTTATTTCCATTTTCTGCCGATTTTTGATACCAATAAAAGGCTTTTTTAGGATCTTTATACAGTTTACATAAATAAACTTGAGCCATAGAATAATTATCTTTTGATGCTTTTGAAAATGATGCAAATGCTTTATCTTCATCTCCTTTTACAATAATTCCATTAAAATAAAGAAAACCATGAAAGAAAATATATTTAGATGATATTTGATTGTCATTAAGCCAATCAAGAATGTCGTCTAAAGGTTGATTGATATATTTAATATTTTGTTCAATAATTTGTTTTGCTCCTGCAAAACCATAACCTAATTCATCATGCAATTTGATTAAATGGTCTATCAACTTATCAATAATTTTTCCAACGTCATCCGAATCTGTTATGTCAATTAATAAATTTTTTTGTATAATATCATTCATGTTTAAATCAAAATCATCATCTATCAAAGAATTCGAAAAATCATCGCCTATAAAGAAATTATAATCATTATCCATCATGTTATCAAAATCTTCATTTGATGGTTCTTTTTCAATCACATTTTTAATAAATTTAGTAGAATTTTTTTCCTCATTAATATCTTGTTTAATCATTGATTTAAGACATAAAACGACTTGTTGAATAGATGGTCTTTCATTAGGATCATTTTTCCAACACGCTAAAAAAAAAAAATTAGAATTATAACATAATTAATTTATTATATAAATCATCGCATCTCTCTTTGACACGTAAATTTATTACCTGTATATAAATCACTATATTTAGCAGGGGTACCTCCAATAATTTTTTCTCTTTTTCCCATCATTATATCCATAGCTAAATTTGCATCATATTTTAT